AGATGGATGATAGGAAGGGGTGGCTGGATGGATAGATGGGTGGAAGGAAATGGACAGAGGTAGAGTTGATAGGAAGCAAATGGATGGATAGAAGGAAGGGAATAGACGGTGGTTAGTTTGAAGGGGAAGGAGGAAACAAAATGGATAGATGAGTGGTTGGAAGGGGGGTGGATGATGAGTGGGAGGGGACAGGTGGACTTGGCAGGTGGTTGGTTGGTTACAAGGCACGGCGCTAATGCTGAGCCATAACCTCATAAAACCCCTTGTGATTTCAGGAAGGCAACAGCCCCCAGGGGAGCAACCAGGGAGTCAAAATCACACCGGACCAGCAGAAGAAGACCAGCTTTTTCCGATGTGTTCTTCTGTGAGGAACGCCGCCTTACTCCGAGCCTCGCTCGGCCGAGCTGACTGTGCCTGCCCTGAGTGAGCCCTCACTCAGCTGGGGCCTCCCCCTCCAATGCCCCTGTTGCGGCCACCGGGCCCAGGGCCACCAGAACACAAATGAGAAATTGTTTATTTTAGTAACTATTCGACCTTTTTCAACTTTGGAGATGGAATAATTTAAGAATTTGCTATTTTTCCTGTGACGTCCGCCACACTGGCCCACACATTGTGTATCTGGAGAGAAAGATGGAGACAACGTGACCGTCAGCGATAACCAGCATGGTGGGTGTCCGTCTCCGGGGCGTGACATAACTAGAGTCCCACCACAGAGCCTGTCCACCTCTCCCACTGCAGAAGCGAGGTCCCCGAAGGCCAGCGATGGTCCCAGGAGTGCTGCACCGCACCCCCTCAGCAAGGCATCCCCCACCAGGCCCAGGGAGCGCCCGCCAGCACATCTGACACCCAGTCGCCTTCCTCTGTAGTGGACAAGTGACAAACACTGTTATGTTTCCTTTTCCTCCCGCCCTCTTTTTGAGTCTCAAACCAAAGGGAAGCACAAATTAAGGAAATCCTGTGTAAAGCATTCGGAAGGAAAGAGGCGTGGAGGGGCCTTCCCTGTGCCCAGCCAGGCCTCTGTCTGCGGTCCCCCAGGCCTCGGGCACGGTCAGCAGGCCTCTCGGCAGTCCCCATCTGATCACCAAGGAGACACTGGGCATCCCACAGGTGACCCTAGAAGCGCAACCACACGCCATCTACCCACAGTCAGGGGCCCGCGTGGCAGCCACCAACAGCTCCCACTTCTCTTTGTCCTCCCTCAGTCTCCAAATCACATGTTCTTTCTAGCTGAGATTTTTATTTTTTCAGATCTGTAGTGCCATGAGGGGATTCCGCCTTTGAATTCCAGCAGCAGATCCAGGCAACCAGGGACGCATGTGCTCCTGTGTCTGGATGTGGCCAAGAGCATGAAGCATCTCTGGCCACAGACTGAGCACAGAACTGTCTGGGCTGGTTTTCAACTGCTGTCATTGGTTCTGTGTTGACAGCTCTGCCTTCCCATGGAGAGTACACAATTGAGATCAGGTCTGAGGGGTGTCACTGGGGAGTCCTTATATTTCTTTTTCTTACCCTGACCCCAGCCTAAGCTGCTGTCCACCTAAATTGTTGGCATCATAATTTCTTTTTTGAATTAAAAACCAATGTACCAGCCATAGTCTGCTGTTCCCTGGAATCTCTTAACATGCTCTGTTTACATCAATAAACGCACTAAGGATAACAATTAAAATTAATTTTAAAGGTCACGGGTTTTTATGTCCACAGTTAACCAGCAGGTAGACACATAGGCCAGGCGTGGGGTAGCAAGTTCGCAGAGTGCCTGTTATTTAAAATAGCCCAGGCCAGCCGGGGCCTCAGGTTTGGACAGGGTCACAGTAGAAGTGTGTGGCGAGTACCCCAGGCTCTGAGGAGACGACACCATTATCAAGAGACTGACTCGAAAAATCAAGTTACCTAGCCCTGCCTCCACCCCTCAGGAGAATGGGACCCTGCTCTCAGCAACATTGGGCGTACCACGTCCCGTGCAGAGTCTGCTCGGTCAGGGCTTGGCCCCACGATGCCAGCAAATTCTCTCATCTTGGTCTCTGTTGGATCCCATTTGCCATGTCGCATGCTCAACTCTGAGACCCCTTTCTCACCTCACGGGAGCACTGCCTTCCCCCACCCCTGAGGTCCTGTGACCTCTGGCTTCTGACACATGGCTGGGCCATCTCCTGCCTCTTCTCTAGACTGGCCCCAGTGGGTTCCTTCTGTTGGGGTCCCCAGGACCACCCCCAGGTCAGTGGTTCACTGGGACTCAGCACATAGCTAATGTACTACAGCCAAAGGACACAAAGGGAAACGGGGCGAGGGCGTGGGGCCGCGTGCAGAGGAGGCCAGGTGCAGACTTCCAGGTCCTCTGTGCACGGGGTCACACTTCATTCCTCCATCACCAAGCTCTGACGAGTTACATGAAGTGTTTGCCAAGGGCGTGCAGGGTTTTTGTGTGTTTTGGGGTTTTTTTTTTAATTGGTTTTAGAGAGAAAAGGAGAGAAAGGAACATCGATTAGTCATTCCACTTATTTATGTATTCATTGGTTGATTCTTGTATGTGCCTTGACCAGGGGTCAACCCACAGCCTCAGCACATCGGGACGACACTAACCAACTGTGCTACCTGGCCAGGGCCCAGCACCCAGGGTTTTATTTGGGCTGGTTATGTAAGCACCTCTGCCCGGCGTGTACCACAATTTTAGCAGCTTGGGAAGAAAGCAGGCGTTAGCTAAACCATGTCATTTGTACAACACGAACATTTAGGCATAGCCGTGAACCACTTGTCGTGCAGGGAGGGTTCTACTTCAACTGGGGAGCTTTACCAGCCAGGTTCCTGAATGCCAGCCAACGGCCGGCCTGGCAGGCACGTCTTCAGACCTGCTGGTGGCTTCTACACCCCAGACCCCGCCCGAACCCCAGTCTAAGCTCCAACTCCCACGTTCACCTGCCTGCTGTCTACTCCAATTCAGATGTCTAGTCACCATACACGTTACAGAGCCAAGAACATGTGCCCTGTATCAGTGGTTCACTGGGACCACCTGGGGGTGGTCTTGGGGACCCCAACGGTAGCCGAGAAATGTGCCCTGTAACCTCCCCCATTCCCACATTGAAGCCAGTACCCACGGGACTTCTGTCTCAGCCTTCCCTTTTTGTTCTTTAGTCTGTTGTCGAACTATTCTCAAGAAATAGAAATCAGCCCTGGCCGGGCAGCTCAGTTGGTTAGAGCATCATCCTAATACACCAAGGTTGTGGGTTTGATTCCCACCCAGGGAACATACAAGAATCAACCAATGAATGCATAAATAATGGAGCAAGGAATCAATGTTTCTCTGTCTCTGGGATCAATAAAAAGAAAAGAAATAAAAGTCAAATGGTGTCACCCCCCAACTCACCTTCTACCATGGGCCACAAGCTCCTGCATGCTGTGGCCCTGCCCACCTCTTCCCTTTGTCATCCTCCCCTGGTTCACCTCCCCCCAACCCCTGCACTGCTTTACTCTCCTGCTATACCCCAAGCTCACTGTGGCCCCTGATGTGGTCACCTGCCTGCAGTGTCCTCGGTGTTGTGGATGAGATATGAGACTACCCAGTCCTGTGGAGGAGAAGGAACAGCACACAGCCACTCTCTCAAGGGGAGAGTGCCCAACCCTTGCCTTGATCAGCTTTTATTGCTTTTCTGGGCACATTACATTGAGGATGGTCCTCATTTACTATGCACAGGTTTGCTTTAGGTGGTTACCTTTTACAGAAAATAAAGGAGAGGACATTGCTAATTATATCAAAAAAGAAGGATATTGGCAAATGTAAAGGGAAAAGTGGTTGAACTGGTTACACTCGTCCTTAGGAGGTTTAGCACAGATTTTAGGAAGTTGCTTTAAAGATACACAATAAACATTTTCTGCCTCAATTCAGGGTGAGGGAGTTTTAGCAAAAAGCAAGTCTCAAAGCAGCCTAGGTACAATGCAGGCCTGATTCCCCATGGGAGAAACTATCCGTGGGTGTGGGTCCTGTGTACCAGACCTCACTTTCTACTGGGCTTTCCAAGTGGGAGCTGGGCCCATGCCACGCAGAACGGTCTCCTATAGGCCCCAGTGCCTTCGCATGTGCTGCACCCTTGGTCTGGCAGTCCCCTAAAATCTGTACAGCTTACTCATCCACCAGGTCATGACCAACCAGGACAGCCTCTGCAGAGAGGCCCCTCATTTCCCCCTCTCCTCCCACCTCATCATCGTAGCATCTATGGGACTCACTTCCCGTGGCCAACTCTTGTCTCCCACTCAGCACAGAAGTTCCACTAGCCCGACTTCCCCAACGTGACATCCATGGCGAAACGGCATTGTGATCACTGACCCAGAGGGGCATCTACCCCACATGGGGCCATGAAAATCCCAACCGCCATCTGAGGCTCCTGTGTCAGAGAGGGAGGGGCTTTGGAGTCCCAGCCCCACCCAACCTCACTGCTAGTTTTCTTCTGGAAGTTCCTCTGGGGGCCACCTCTCCATTCACAGGCTCCATCCAGGACAGTGGACACCAAGGGGTGGGGAGTGATTCTGTTGTGACATGCTCAGGGGAGGCCGTTAGTTTGTGGGAGACCACATCCGCCAAGCAGATCTGGGCAATCAGGGTGGGGCCCTCTGTGGTGGGGCCTCAGGGTGCTGGGCCAGAAGTGAACTGATAGGCCCCATGTTCCTGGAGACTGAACTCCATGCAACTGATATGCCAGTGGCCAGGCTTTCTAACTGACCAGGGTTGGTTGGGCACTCTGCTCTCCTCCGCAATGGTGTTGCTCCTCATGGTGGAGGCAAGGGGCAGGCTCACTGGGTTATAGAGGACATGAAGGATCAGAGAGGTCAAGTGAGCTGCCCAATGTAGCCCAGCCTGGGAGGCCTGGAGCTCGAGTTGGCATCTCCCCCAGACCCAAAGGCATCAGATTCAGTCACAGTGAGGAGTCCTGATGTCATTACTCTTACCCGAGCCCCTGCTATCCGCCTGAATTTTGTCCCGCTGATCATCATCACGTGACTAAGGAGGGATGTTATCATGTGACTTACAGATGAGAAAACTGAGATCCAGAGAGGTTGGGAAATTCACCCAAGGCCACACAGTGGGTGAGTGAGAAAGGGGCTCCTTGTGTTTCTTGCTCGGGGCTGTTGACTTGCAGATTCAGGGCAACCCCCTGCCTCTTATAGAGCAGGAAGTGGGGGGGGTACCCAGCTTGAGCCTGCGATCAGGCTGTCTAAACCGGCTGGGCCAGGGCAATAGGCCTGCAGGGAGGCTGCCCCCACCCCCTGCAGCTCAGCCATGAGGCTCTGGGCCATTGAAAAAGGAGGAGGAAGTGGTTTTGCCTGTGGGCTGGGAGGAGGAGTTGGGCAGCCAGCACACATCTGGGCTGGCTGATTTGCTGGGCACTGCTTACCATACTCAGAGCCCACCATGTGTACAGGGGCCCTAAAAATGGTTTAGCTTTTTTTTTTTAACTCAGAAAAAAAGTAGTACAATAATAATGAATGTATAATAATGAAGCCAGTTCAGTCATAAAATATAATTTTAAATGTTTTTTTAACAGAACTCTTTTTTTTAAAGATTTTATTTATTTATTTTCAGGCAGAAGGGAAGGGAGGGAGAAAGAGAGGGAGAGAAACATCAATGTGTGGCTGCCTCCCACAGCTCCCCACACTGGGGAACCCGGCCTGCAACCCAGGCATGTGTCCTGACTGGGGACCAAACCAGCGACCCTCTGCTCCTCAGGCCGGCACTCGATCCACTGAGCCACCCCAGCCAGGACTCACAGGACTCTTAATGCGACCCTGTGTGCCTAGTGAGGCTCCATCCTGCCTCTGGCCCTAGGTTTCTGTGGCTCCCTCTACCTAAGGCATCTTCCACTCTTTCTTCAACTCCCCAGCCCATGAAGCTGTCGCCCCTGCCCCCAGGTGCCACTTTCTCCAGACCAGTGAGGCCCCCTCTGGGGGTTCTTGCAACTTCAGTCCCTGTTACCTGACCTACTGTTTGCTTTGAAACAACATTAATAATTTCTTATGCTTTTTCATTGCTCGCTAGATGGTAGCTACTGGGAGGATGGGGCTCGGGCCTCTCTTGGTGTCTTCTCTGTCTTCTGAGGATCTAGCTCACAACTGGTGCTCAATAAAGGCTTGTCCTGGTCTGGGTGGAGCAAGGGCGCCCCTCCTTCACCTGCAGCCCAGCAGCTTTGTTGGAGCACAGACAGAGGGCCGTGGGAGTTGTCCCGGTCCCGCCCCGGGGCTCACCTGCCTGAGGAAACAGGAACCACCAGGGCGTGGCCCCGCCCGGCCCTGCTGACGTGTGGGCCCTGAATCGAAACCCAGGCTCCTGCAGGCACAGCACAGGCACAACCAGAAGGAGGGCAACAGCCACCCAGGGGCCTCCCAGGTATGTTCCCTGGATGGGACTCCTTAGTCAACCACATGCCCACCCCTGTGCCTGTCCCATGCTGGGCGAGGCTGGGGCCTGTGAGGGCCTCTAGAAGACAGAGCATGGGGTTGGGCCAGAGGGAGGGATGGGGCCGAGGAGACCAGAGATGGAGGAGGAATTTTCTGAGATGACCATTGGGAAACGGTGCTGGAGTTGGGGAAAGGGCATTTCTGGCAAAGAACCTTCTGGGCAAATGTGTGGAGGGGAAAGAGAACTTGATCAGTTTGGGGTACAGCAAAGATGCTATTAGGGCTGAAACAGGGGGTTAGGAGGTGGGAGGGCCCCCGATGCCAGGGTCAGGAATGTGAAACTTAGTATGACTTCATCAGTCACTAAACTAATTAATCATCAGCACATACCCTGTAGCCTCCTCTGTGCCCACCCAGCTCCGGGCGATGCTGGGGACCCAGGAAAATCCAAAAGAATCCATCTCTAGCCCTGAGCCCAGACCCTGGGAGGCCCTAATATTGGGGAGACAGTAGACACTCTGGCCCCATGAGGCAAGTCAAGGCCAGAGGCCAGAGCTATGAGGACAGTAGTGGACGTGGAAGAGTGCCAGGGTTTTGTTGAGGGGATGAGGCAGGAAAGGTGCATGAAGGAGGGGATATTTTTACTGGGTTTCAAAGGATAAGTAGGAGGTCTCCCAGATAAAAAAAACAAAAACAAAAACAAGTAGGTTCTTCTCGTGGGGTCGCTACCGGACCCACGAGTATTTAGTGTGCATACTCCTGTCCTCTGCTGGTCTCTGCCAATCAACACCAGTGCTGTGGCCGGCCCAGCCTGTGGCTCTTAATTATGATTTTGAGATGTGTTTCAGCAATAACCATAAGGAAACTTACAAAAAAATAAAGGTTTATTTATTACTTAAAGACCTGGAACTTTACAACACATCAGGGACCACACACCAGGGCTGAAGGTAGAGAGAGCAAGTGTGCACGTGGGCAAGTAGCCCCGGTGGTCAGTGGTGGAAATTGGCCGAGCTCTCAGACAGAGGCGCCTCCGTGGGAGAAGGCAGCCTGGCTCTCCAGTCGTGTGGCCGGCAACGTTGACCGGAAATCGCCACCCTGGAAACAGATGCCTGAGCGATCAAAGCTAGAGTCAGACGCTTGCGTTACAGAAAAGAAACACACACACACGGCCAGGGCTGACGCGACGCCAGGTGAATATCATCACCACGTCCCCAAAGTGTAGTTGAAAACACGGGCACCGAGAGGTTGGGCTGATGTGTCCGAGACCTCACAGCATCTAAGTGGGTTTGAATCCAGGCTCCGAACAGCTTTGTAACTCTGCCTTCTTTCTTTCTTTTTTGACATGCTTATTGATTTTAGAGAAGGGGAAGAGAGAGAGGGAGAGAAACTTTGATCAATTTCTTCTGGCACGCGCCCCTTCCTGGGACTGCAGTGCAACTCAGGTGTATGCCCAGACAGGGACTCGAACCTGTGACCTTTTTTTGGTTTATGGGATGACACTCCAACCAATTAAGCCACACCAGCCAGGGCTAAACATTTCTTAATATATTTGATTTCACTTGCCCAAAATTCCTTTGGGCCACTCCCTGGAGGGGTGTTCTCACCACCTGCCTCTGGTAGGAGAAAGTCAACCTTGACTGGGTTGGTCAGTGGGGCCCCTGTCTGTGGAGACAGCCTGGTGACAGTGACCTTCTGCAGGATGGAAAGGTTAGCCCGGGCCAGATGAGAGGCGGGGCCAGTTTGGGGGCAGAATTAGGGTGAGTTTGAGGGGTCAGCCCAGCATGGCGCAGCACTTTCGCTGGATTTACACTGACTTCATAGCTGTTTTGCAAATCGGTGCCGGTTTTTCCAGCTCTGTGTCATTAGCTCACAAAGTCCAGTGGTACCTGAGCTTAAAACTGTTGAGAATGACTGTGAATTACCTATGTACCTGTCCCATCGTAAGTGTGCTATCCAATGTGCTGGTGACATTGGTGGCAGAAGCAGCTGTTCGGCCCACATCTCTGTGGTGTTTAAAGTATCATGGCGACCCTTTATGGTGCCCACCGAGTGTCCACTATCGCAATCATCCACTCATCCTTTTGCCGGCACCACATCCCTCCGCGGACATGGGTGGCCATTTAATATTTGAATAAATTCAGTTCTTAAACTTAAGTACATATACCTATAAAGGGAACTTTCCCACACTTTCAGTAATGAAATAATAAGAATAAAGAAAAATAAAATATGAGGATTTTTGCTTTTCCTTTTATCCTATTTTAAAAAGATTTTATTTATTTATTTATTTTTAGAGAGGGAAGGAGGAAGGGAGAAAGAGATGAAGAGAAACATCGATGCTGGAGAGAAACATTGATCGGTTGTTGACTACTGCATGCTTCCTGACCAGAAACCACACCCCCAACCCAGGCACGTCCTCTGACCCGGTACTAAACCAGTGACCTTTCACTTTGCATAACGATGCCTAACCAACTGAGCCACACTAGCCAGGGCTTTCCTTCTATTATTATCACTCCCTTTTAATGCTTTTATTCTTATTATTCTTGGAGGATTTTTAGGAGGAGCGAATAAGCGAATGTACATAAAGTGCTGGCACATAGCAGGTGCTCAGGAAACATAAGCCAGCTTCAGGCCTGTTGCTCTGTCCAGCCTAGAGGACTTCTCCAAAGAGGAGGCACCATAGCTGCAAGAGTAGGATAAAGATTGGAGGTGGGCCAGGCATGACTCTCTCCTCCTTCCTGTCCCCAGGTGACACCTTCCCTCTGAGGAAGTCATGACAGAGACCAGAAAGCTGCCGCCCACACTGCCCCCACGAATGGACTGGTTCGTGCACACACAGGTGGGCCAGCTGGCCCGAGAAGGAGTCCCTTCGTGGTTCCATGGCGCCATCTCCAGACAGTGAGGATGCACCCACACCTTCCACCCTGCCTTTCCCCCTCTTTCTTTGTCCCTGCCCTGGGAAGGTTTCCACCGTGGAATTCTGGGCATAGCTCACCTGAGTTAAGAGGACGAAAAGAGATTTGGAGCTTCTGGCTTGAATCTTGTCTCCTCTACGGACTTGCTGTGTGCCCTTGGGCAAGTTATTTTCCCTCTCTGGGCCTTGGCTTTCTCTATGCAAGTGGCTACCAGGCCAGAACTGCCAGGGACCTGGCAGAGCCCCTGCCCCCACCAGGCCAATCAATGATAGCAGGATGCAGCCTCAGAATCCTTCTTAACACAGTGCCCCAAATAGCCACTCTCAGTCCATCAGGTATATAGCTAATATGCCCTTTCCACATCAGACTGAGCTCTATGATGAACAAACTTACCTACTTAGTCACCCCAGGGTGTGGCTCTAAAAATGGAGAAAAGAACATTTACTGCCATCCTTGGCATTCAGGAAACTGAGAGAACATTGCAAAACCACAGAGAGGCAGAATTGGGTATGGTTTCTGAGTTCGGAGGTGTGCCAATAAAACATGATATAAGCCATACATTGCAATTAAAATTTTTTACTAGCTATATGAAAATAAGCAAAAAGGAACAGGTAGGATTAATTTTAATCGCATTTTTTATTGGCCCTGGCTGGTGTGGCTCAGCTGGTTGAGCATCATCCCATAATTAAAAGATTGCAGCACTTAACCCAGTACATCGATGATACTGTCATTTCAACAAGTAATTAGTACAAAAGAATCAGAGACAGTATATATATTCCTCTATTTGTACTGTCTTTTATTATATATACTGAGATGGTATATATATTTCTCTATTTGTACTGTCTTTATTTTTTTATTACTTAAAAAATTTTAAATTGGATTGTGAAATGTTAGAACTTAATGTGTTTGTTGTCAATAAAAGTTAAAGGGCCATTTGTTCAATTGTAAAAACAAACAAACATTTATAAAAATTTTACCCCAATTTCTCTAAAGATAATTATTTGGTTAAAATTCTTTAAAAAATTGATGGAATGGCACAGGAATAAAACTCCACTCTATGGAAAAAACATACGTGTCTCAAAACTAGAAGGTGCTACATTATACCAATTATCAAAATTTAATTTATTCTGAAACTCCTATTAAATTATATGTACTTATGAACAGAATCTTGATTGTTGAATCCTATTGATTTGAAAAATTTAAAAATCAGGGGTCACATTTCCTGAAATATTTTTAGCAGAGGTAAGCACAAGGTTTAAGTGAAGATTTTTTTCATGAGTAAAATTGGTCTGTAATTTTCTTATTTTGTGATATCCTCATTCAGTATGAGAGTAATGCTGGCTGGCTTCACAGAATGAGTTCAGAAGTATTTTATACCCTCCAATTTCCTGAATTTGTGTACAATTAGTAATATTTCATCCTTAAATAGTTGGCAAAATTTACCACTGAGTTTTCTTTGTACAAAGAACTTGGCAATTAAAAAATTATAAATTCAAAAATTTTTTTCAATTACAGTTGACATGCCATATTATGCTAGTTTCAGATGTACAACATAGTGATTAGACATTTATATAACTGACAGAGTACTTGCCCCAATAAGTCTAGTAGTCCATCTGATACCACACGTAATCTGCTGACTGTACTTCCTGTGCTGTGTACTGAGTCTTTAGAATATGGTGTGTACCATATGCTAATAGCACATCTTGATTCAGACCACACTGTAAGTGCTCAGTCACCACATATGGTCAGTGGCCTCTGCACTGGACAACATGTCCAGAGGCCCCTTATAGAGGGTCACCTTACTCTCTGAGAACGCCAGAAAATAGTAGTAATAATGATAGTAAATGATAGTGATATAGTGTGGACTTTAATAATGTGGACTTCACGGTGCCGACTCTAAATCCTTATGTAACCTGACTTCTCAAAAACTTGGTTACCATCATTGCTCAGTATCCATGGGAGTTGCCTCCAGGACCCCCCACAGACACCAGAATCTGCTCAGGTCCCCTCTATGAATGGTGTAGGTCAACGCATAGAGTTGGCCCTCCACACCCACAGATTCCCAGCCTCAGACCAAAAACACTGCAGAGAGGTCCGGTTTGTATACTTACTGAAAATACCCGCTTGGACTTGGCAGTTCAACACATGTTGTTCAAGGGCCAACTGAACTAATAGTGAACATTCGGGAAGCATGTACCAAGTGGAAGTTCTCACATTGCACACATTTCGTCTGTCCTCACATTGGCCTGGGGTAAGGGTTTTCTACACCTTCGGGAAGCTGAGGTCAGAAAGGGACTGACCCTCCTCAAGGGGCACACAGTGAATGAACAGCAGAGTTGGGGTTTGGTCTCAAATGCATCTGGGGACAGCTCCTGCCTTGTTACCTGTCATGCCTGGATCCACCCAAAGCTGCCTTCCTGGGGGGATTTCAGGCACTGAGAAGACAGGCAGGGGTTGTGGGAGATGATGGGTCTGGCCTGGGGTCAAGGTCATCAGAGGGCTCCTGGCACCTCTGGGGAAACATCCTGTCCATGAATATTCTAAGTTCTGAAACAACCAAGGGAAAAACATGTTTTAGGTTGTTTGTTCAGACCTGGGTTGACTGGTACACCGAGGGTCTGGGCGTACACTGGGTGGCTGGGCCTCAACTGTCTCCGTCCCGTGTGTGTTCTTTTAGGGATGCAGAGAGCTTGCTGGAGTCACAGCCGCTGGGATCCTTCCTGATCAGGGTCAGTCACAGTCACGTGGGCTACACGCTCTCCTACAAGTAAGGCTGAGGCTGGGGGGCAGGGCAGGGGGAGAAGGCTTCCAGGCTTCCTTGGAGGGGTGAGGGGTGTTTTATACTGCAAGTCTCAGCAACTGATACAAAGTTCTGGACAGAGCTGGCTGAAAAGTGAGCAGCTGCAGGTCTGGCTGTAACCAGCAGGCTTAGGTCGGGTGGTAACTAAGACCGTGTGTCTGAGAACAGGAGCTGCTGGGGGCCTGAGAGTGGCTACTGCCCTTTCCACAACTACCCTCCTCCCTTCCACCACCTGACTGGCAACTGTCTGACTCCACTCACGAGGATGGGTTGGGAACCTGAGGCCTCAAAGCCTGATCTGGCGTCCCAGGGAGTGGATTCAGCAACACAAACTATTTTTCGAAAGGTTTTTGGGCCAAAAGAATCCAGGAAAACCCAGTGGCTCCCTCACAGAATTACCCGCAGTGGGAAAACTTGGGACTGAGTTGCACAGTCCAAGGCTCAGTTCCGCTACTTATATGCTGTATGACCTTGGACAAGTTACTCAACCTTCCTGTACCTCCCTCAGAGTCTTCATCTCTAATTGTAAAAATGCTAAAATTAACTGTCTTGTTGTGAGGATTAAAATACATAGGAAGCACTGCCCTGGCTGGTGCCACTCAGTTGGTTGGAGGTTTGATTCCCAGTCAAGGCATATACCTAAGTTGTGGGTTTGATTCCTGGTCCAGGCAAGTATAGAAGGCAAGAGGCAACCAATCAATGTTTTTCTCTCTCCCTTCCTCTCTTGCTTCTTCTCTTTGTAAAAGCAATGACAAAATGTTCTCTGGTGAGGATTAAAAAGAATATATAGTAAGCACATAGTAGGCCATTAATAAACACACTCATTCATTAAGGGAACAGTGTGCCCGGCCACCACAGCCTCGGGCTGAAACCTGACTCAGTTTTCATTACCATTTCTATCGGTCATTTACCCCTAGCCAGGCACAAAGCTAAGCTTTTCCTGCAGTAGTTTGTTTCACCTCCCTAGCCCCATGTTATAGATGGGGACACTGAGGCACAGCATTGCTAGTCACCTACCAAGTGTCACATGGCTAATGAGAGGAGAAGCTTGCATAGGACCCTGGCGGTCAGACTGCATCCATCGTGCTGCAGGTTGAAGGACCGGGGGTGGGGACGGGGTGAGGGGAGTGGGATGTCTCAGCCCTGGCCGTGTCTCCACAGAGCCCAGAACTGCTACCGCCACTTTATGGTGAAGCTCTTGGACAGCGGGAGCTTTCTAATCCCTGGGGAGGACAGCACCCATGCCTCGCTGGACGCCCTGGTCACCTTCTACCAACAGCAGCCGATGCGGCCACACGGGGAGTTGCTGAGGCAGCCCTGTGGGCAGGTGAGGGTTGGGACCCAGTTGGACTGTAGCTGTTCCTCCCAGGGACCAAGGCCCCCAGACTCATTTTGCTCCCACCAGTCCCCTTCCGCCTCATGATTCTGTCCTTTCATGGTCCCTGTTGCCCCACAGTCCCAACTCCTCCTGGTCCTAGTTGCCTCCAGGCTGATTTTTTACAAGGGTTCATTACAAGGGTTTTTACAAAGGCATAACCTTAGCTGATCTATAGGAATAGCTTATTTCCTGATAAGCCTCAGTCAGCAGGGCCTAAGCCCTCAGAAACTGCTGTGGGAGGAGCCAGCCTCTTTATTAGAATGTGTGGGTGTGGCCTAGGCCCACACAAATTGTTGTGGGCGGGGCCTAGGCCCACAAGCTGCTGTGAAAGGGGCGTGCTTCACTGCGAGGTTTGTGGGTAGAGCAGCTCCTGAGCCACAACTACGAGGGTCCAGGGGCCTCAGCCTCATCCTGGTGCCCCTCCTTGGACCTGAGCTGCAGGTTCCCTCTGCCCCACAGAAGGATCCTGCAAACGTGGATTACGAGGATCTCTTCCGTTACCACAATGCTTTGGCTGAGGAAGCTGCCAGCCCCACGCCTGGTCCCAGTGAGCATCAGAATGCTTCCTCCCATCCCGTGGCTGCACCCAAAGAGGTATGTGACAGAAAGCTGGTACCTCCAACCTGGGGGAGGGTTCAGAGCAGAGGCGGCCAACAGCTGCTAAAGGAACTTTCTAGAATGAAGATTAGATGCAGCAGCTCCAAGTTTAAAACCTTCCAGTGATTTCCCACCAAGATTAAAATCCCGACTATGACCTCCATTCCTCCTTCTGTCCTTCACCAGCCCAGCTTCAGCACCTCTGCCATCCTGCACCAGGCTAACTTCAGGGCCTTTGCACAGCTGTGCTGTAAGCTCCGCCCCCAAGCTCCCCATGCCTGGCTTCTTCCATCAGTCCTTCTTCAGGGGGCTCCCTCCCATCTCCAGACCTAAAGTACTCCCTTAAGCACTTCTCCATCACATCATCCTATTTATCTGCAACAGAGCACTCCTCGAAATTTGAAGTCTTAATTTATTTATGGGTTTTCATGTTTCCTGTCTGCTGCACCCCTCACTTATCACCACTTACCAGTGAGGGAGCTTGGGTAATTACCTCCAAATTCCATCAGTCATTGATCCGGCACTGTTCCTGGGAGACTTCGATTCTCTGGCATTTCTGGTGTGCTTTGTGGACACAGTGGGCACTGGTGGCCAGAGAAGTCCCCAAAGCCGAGCTCCTGGTGCCAGCATTTGGTGTGGAGCTGGGACAAAGAGGATATGAGTGGGCCATTAACAGCATCTGCCACGCTTGCCACACACTTGGCCTGAACAGCAAAAGGTCAGCAAACCACGGCCTGAGGGCCATATTTGTTCATTGCCTGTGTCTGTATGGCCTGTGAACTAAGCATGGCATTCACATTTTTGAATAGTTGAGAAAAATACTGTTTCATGGCTTGTGAAAGTCGGATGAAACTCAGATTTCCACGTCCACAAAGTTTGAATGAAACCGGGCCCACTCACTTGACAACAGCGGAACTGAGTGAGCAGACAGACTGTACAGCTCGCGGAGGGAAAAGTGTGTTCCCCCTGGTCCTTTACAGAAAAGGCTCCTGGGGGAGCTAGGGCAGTCGTCTACTGAGAAGGGAAGGGTGGGGCACGAGGTTAGGTTTGGAGGATCAGACGGGGTCATTTCTCAGCCCCAGGGTGTCTGGATGGACGCCAGATCCCAAGTCCAAGGCAGATGCAGAGCGCTGGTGGTTGTGCTGGCACGGGTCTCACCTGCTCTTGGTTTTAGGTTTCTGCAAAGCCAGCCCTGCTCCATCAGCCGGAGGAAAGGAAGCCATCTGCAGAGGTGTGCAGAGTGCCCACAGAGGGAGCTGCCCCCTCCTGTCCCCGAAAAGCCCCTCTCGACGAGGCCTGTCAGAAACTCTGGAGGAACCTCAAGACACTGCCCCAGACGGGTAAGAGAGTCCAGCAGCAGTTGAAATCCCACCTGGCAGCTGTGAGCTTGTTGCCGCTCCAGGACTCCAAGCAGTCGGAGGCGACTCGCAGCCCAGGGGTCCAGGTGGACGTTGGGGTCTGGGACAGTCACACCTACACAGACCCCCTGGTGGCCACGTCACTCGCAAGCCCCTCACAGCCCCAGGCTCCAAGAAACAGAGACAAGTCCTCCAGGAGGGCCTCAAAGTCAACCAGCTGGAGTGACATGACCCCAAGAACCAGGAGTTGGCACCAACCAATAGTGAGGTCCCTGTCCTCACAATTGTCCAAATTGGAGCTGAGGGACTTGGCTGAGCCCCGGGAGGACTGCCTTCCCGAGGAGTACCGCCCACCACCACCCTTCGCCCCTGGGTTCTGCTAGAGAAGAGGTTCTCGCTGGCTCTGGGACCGCTGCTGCCGGGGAGCTGCTCACACATGGACCCCTTGCTTTCTATACACCAGCCCTCTGGACCTGAGAAATGTAATAAAGACGTCGCTTAGTTCTGGTCCTGCAAATGCCAATGAGGTGACTTGGTTATTGGAGTAATAATACAGTCAGTTATGGTTAGGGTCTGGAGCACCTACTGTGTGCCAGCCCCATGCCAGATCCTCAGCATTCACTATTTCTTTTACGCCACTGAGAAGGCCCATCAGGTAGGCATCTTCTGCACGTTTTCAAGAAGAGTGAGGTTCAGAGAGGAGAGAGGCACAGCCAAAGTCACCAGGCTACTGAACGTCAGTGCCAGGCTCAGAAGTCACGCAGTTTGGAGTCCTTTCCCTACTTTCCCCTCATCCGGACTGAACTGAGTCTTGGCCACACCTTCCTCCTGGGTTCTCATGCAAATGAAGGAGGGGAGACTTGTGGTGGGCTTGGTACTCGGAGGCACCCCGTACACCAATGCCAGCTTCAGGAGAAGCAAGTGTGTCCTTTGCTTTAAAAAGGGAGAGGCAGCCCCTGGCCGTGGTTGGGGTGGGCTCCGGGCTGGGGGGTAGCAAGGCTGTGTGACTTAGGTGAGTCACTAGACCTCCTCGAGCCTGTTTCCTCATCTGGAAAATGGGGAGGAAGTAGCCCCTCCTGTTCAGGATGAGGCAGGAGGATGCGCATGAATCCTGCGGCTTAGGTGCACAGTAGGTGCTTTTGGTGGAGGTACAGTACGGAAGTGGGCTCTCTAGAAATGCCACGCCCTGGGGGTGTCTGAGAAGGAAGGCCCTTGGGGCTGCTTTTGGTCACCCCTTCGAAATGACTACTCTTCGGACTGACTGGGGCCGTAGATGGGCCCCAGGGTGACCACGGGTGGAGTTGGGTGTGGCGCTTCCAAATCCACATAGTGTAGGGGTCTGGGGTCTGGAGTGAGCTGGGCCTGGGCTCAAGGCCGCCTCTGCAGATGATGACTTGAGGTGTGGCCTTGGGCCAGTCCCTCTGTTCCCGCCGGATGAAGTGTGACTGGTCCTCAGCCAGCGCTGTGGGGGCATCACAGGCGCGCAGTGGGACAGCAGAGGGGCCAGTGCTTCACACACTGTCGAGTGCTGTGCCAGCTCAGTAAGCAACGTCCCTGCCACCCCCTCCGAGGCCTCTCCCGGCAGCTTAAAGAAATAAGCAAGGCTTAAACCTTCAGTCCCTTTGAGGGATTCAGGAGTCGAGGAAAAAGGGGACTCAAGCGGCCAGGATAGGGTTTGGCCTTGGGGGGCCCTGGAGTGGGGCAACATAGGCCTCATCTGCACACCCGTCTCTGCTCACCAACACCCACGGCAAGGCACTTCCAGCCCTCGTAGTGCCTCGAGATCTCGCAGTCAGGCTCTGCCTTGCAGAGTCGGGTCAGAGCTGGTGGCCCAGAGAGGGCGTGGCCACACCCAGGAGCACACAGGGAGAGCACAGATGAGACTCCGGGTCTCCTTCCTCCCATCCACCAAACTGGAGGCAGAAATGTCTCATCCCAGCAAGTGCAACTCAGTGACATGTATTTATTCCCAGAGTGCAGAGTCTACAGTGGGGTGAGGGGTCACCCCGCCCTCCTCTGGACCAGCTCCTCCTTCAGGGCGTCCTCAGATGCGGATGTGGAAGGTGCTGTGTGCAGAGAGGAAACGAATCAGCGTCATCAGGTGGGAGAGGGGGTGGCCCTCCGGCACCTCTCTCTCTGACCCTCCTGCTGGGAGTCCCCTAGCAGACCAGGAGTCCCATGGAAAGATGGAGCCCCCTCAGGAAGCCCCAGGCTGTAGCCCGAGGGACCCCACCCCGACCCGGGGCTGGGAGCACATCTCCGAGTCAGTTTACACACAGACTGGCTGTAGGGCTCTCAGTGAGAGGTGGCCGCCCCCTCTGGGCCTCCGTTTACTCCTCTGTGAAATGGAGATGACAGCTGTCCCTCCTTCACGGGGGCTGTACTGAGGTCTGAGAGCAGGACACACCGAAGGTGTGCCACCATCCCACTGCCATTATCCATGTATCCATCTGCCAGGAGACCAGGCCTGCTGATCCAGGGCAGAGAAAGGGGGCGCCCTGTGCCGGGAGGGACACCACCAGTAGTAACCACGGCACAGTTACTGAGCACCTGCCGTGGGCCAGGCACGGCTCTAATTTATTCCGTGTACTAACTCCGGGGCCAAACAACTTTTTCCTGGAAAGCACCGAATAGTTGATATTTCCAAATTTGCACAATGACTAACTCTGCCTTGTAGCTTGAAAGCAGCCATCAACCATATGTGCACAAAAGGGCAAGGTCGTGTGCCAGAAACACCAGGGTAGACCCGGAAATTTCAGTTTCATGTCACTTTCATGTGCCCTGGAGTATCACTACTCTTTGATTATCTTCCCAACCATTTAAAAATGCAATTTTTTTTGCTTTTGCAACATCGCTTTATCAGTTTATTTTTTTTAGAAAGGCTTTTAAAAAGATGTTACTTATTTTTAGAGAGAGGTGAAGGAAGGGATAGAAAGAGGGAAAGAAACATTGAAGTGCAAGAGAGACATCAATGACAACTGATTGGGCCTCTCCAATGCCTCAGCCAGAGACCTGGGCCACAATGCAGGCACGTACCCTGACCGGGAATCGAACTGGTAACCTTTCAGTTTACAGGCTGGCACTCAATCCACTGAGCCACACCAGCCAGGGCTAAAAAATGCTATTTAAAAAGCTATTCTTAGCTCACTGGAGGTACACAAACAGGTGGCAGGCCACTGCCTGCACTAACTCATGTAACCTTTGCCCTCACCCTGCAGCGGGGCTCTGGTTCTACCCAGGCTGCCAAGTACAGCTGTGCAGTCTGTTCACTGCAAAACGTTTGGGCAAGTGAGGCCCGAAGTCCATCCACAATCCACTCACCCAAAGCGCTGTGACCACCCCCAGGAGGTGCCCACGGGGTTCCTAATCATCCCTGTTTTAAAGATGCAGGGACTGGAGCCAGGGGGTTGGGAAAGTTCCCCAAGATCACACATGAATGAACGAAGGGACTGTCGCAAACGAAGTCTATGAACTAGTTCCCTTAGGTCCTTCCCCACACTTGGAAATGGACTGAGTGGGCGGCGAGGAGTGTCACCTGAGGAAGTCGGGTGCCCGCAGGATCATGTTCTGGAAGTCTTCCAGGGACAGCCGCCCATCGTGGTCCCCATCGGCCTCATCCAGCACCTTCTCGCACACCAGGGTCACCTCCTCGGCGCTCAGCTCCCCCCGCGTCAGCTTGGTCACCGTCTGCTCCAGGTCCCACATACAGATGTAGTCATCATTGTTAAAGTCTGTGCGGCAGGCAGGACGGGGACGTGGGGTGAGCAGACAGCAGGTGGCGGGCAGGCTGGGCCAGCATGGGTACATCTTGTCCCCATGTTACAGAGGAGGAAACTGAGGCACTGGAGGGAATCCAAGACCTTCAGAGAAAAGCTGGGTCTTTCTTTGAACTGGGCAGCAACAAGGTCATTCATTTATACATGCAACAAGTATTTATTGAGCACTGTGGTAAATTTTCATTTATTCATTCAAGTATTATCGATCACTTATTATGTACCAGGCACCACGATCACTGTTTTTGACTCACTCATCCATTCAACAAGTATTGATTGAGTGCCTACTGTGTGCCGGGCACTGTGAAACATTTTCATTCATTCAGCCAAGAAGAATTCGTTGAGCACCCACTATGTGCCAGGCACAGTAGGCAGATGGTGAACCAAATAGACACTGTCGCTTCCCTGGGTCTCCTCAGAGAGGAAGTCAGTAAGAAGTGAACAGATCAATGAACAAGAAATTAAGCAGCATCATTCCGTGCTAGGGGAGAACTAAAACGGGGGCGGAGAATGACTCGGGGAGGGGCTACTTCCGAGGGAGACCTCGGGGTGAGAAGGAGCCAGGGGACCGGTGTTCTGGGCGGAGGATACAGCAGAGGCAGAGGCCTGGAGGCAGAGTGTGCTGTGTGGGTGGAAGGGCGAGGCCAGTGTGGCTGGAACGGAGTGAGCGAGCAGATGAGGTCGGGAGGTGCGGGGTGGGAGGAACGCAGGGCCGCGCCGGGCCTCGAAGTCCTTGGGGAGATACCGGGGCAGCGGGGCGGCCCCTGGCCCTGGGGCTGGTCTTGTTTCCACTCCCCACTGCGCAGCCCCCACCCCGGGCCCTGCACGCACCGTAGATTTTAAAAGCATAGTAGGCTTTGAGGTCACGGGGAGCCATTTCGCTCATCACAGAAAACATGTCCAGGAAGTTGTCCAGCGTCATGTGGCCATCCCCGTCTTCAGAGAAGACCTGGGCAATCCTCTGTCGGAACGGGTTGTCCTGGGACAGGAAGCAGGGAGGCCACCCTCACTAGGGTCTCGGGCTCCATGTGGTCTCACTCTCAGCACTCACCTTCCTGGGACCCTCCAGGTATCCCCCCCTCCCAAGACTCTCCCTCCCATGACCCTCGGGCAGGACTTCAGGCACCGTTAGTCTCTGCCACAGTGGTCTGGGTGCTGTTGTCCCTACCTCCAGCTACAGAGGCAGCCACACGACCTGGGTGAGGACAAGCAGATTTCTATTCACCTGGCAACTAGGACCGGCTCTGAGAGAGACGTGTGATTTCAACTGGCCGACCAGACGCTGCCCCAGGATGTTTTTGAAAAATTGGGATGAAGGGACCTGCTTTCTGCTGGTTGTAGAATTGACATGAGGACATCTGGTCTCTGGGGGTTCCCTTCACCACCTCAAGAAGGAGGGCTGATTGAGACTGAAGTCTCTTCCTGAGAGGAGCTGAGAGATGGAAGGAGATTCCCAAGCCCATTCTCAGAGCCCCTGGTTCCAGCTGTACCTGATGCCCTGCCCCTGGAGTTTTTGCTCATGTGATTCTGTCAACCTATTCTGTCCCTCTTGAATGAGGTTCTAGTACCTGGTGATACAATAGTCTCTGTGCACAGTCACTCACTTCACAAGTCCCCTTCAGAGGCACAAACCACGAGCTGAACATCCAGCTGAGAAGAACCTGCATTGGCTGCTCCAACTATGAAAAGAACTGAAGTTCCCTGAGTACTTGCCATGCAACAGGCCTTGGGCTGAGCCCTTTGCCTGCATTATCCTACTGCATCTTCCCAACAACCCCGGGTTTGAATCCTGTCTCTGTCACCTCCTGGCTGCGTGGCCACGAACTTCAGTTTTCTCACCCACAAAAACGGGAAACATTGCAGCCCTCGCCTCGTAGGAACGCAGCATCGCTGTGCTGTTTTCCCTGCCTGCCCCACAGCCTACGCGTACCTTCAGCTCAGGCATGCTGCTGATGAGCTCGTAGGGCACCCTCACGTCAGGACGGCTGGTATAGTCGAGGGGGACGAGCTGGGGCGCCAGGTCCTGGTAGCGATAGAAGAGCCTGGTATAGGGATGAACACGCCGGGAAGGTTTGGGAGATGATGGGAGGGAGGGGACTTGACCCTCCTCTCTCACTGGCAGCTGCTTACCCCATGCTGAAAGATGCTGGGTCCCTAACCATCAGCCCTGGGCCCAGCCTGCACGCACACGAGCACCTCTATCTCCCTGGGGTCATAGCCAAGGTAGAGAGAGCGCCCCAGAGCTTGGGGCGACCAGAGTGAGGAAAGCCAGCCAAGGAGGGGGAACGACTTCCCGAAGGAGGAGGTATTGGTGCTTGAGTCTGAAGCGTGAGCAGGAGCTCACCAGATAGGTGGGGCTCGGCACACTCGGCAGGAGTGTGCTTCAGGTGAGGTCATTTCACCACAAGCGTTTAGAGAATCTGAGCCAACCTGTGACTCTGAACATCATCACACTATTGTCAAGACCATGCCTCTAAAGACCCCCGTCCTCACATTTCCCTTCTCCACCTCCATAATGGGAAGCAGGGTTCCCTCAATGGGGCAGAGCCAATATTTAGGTTTTGAAAGCGTGACTGAAATGCATTTTGGAAAACACCCAATGCCATGCACACGACCTAGTCTGCAAGGCCAGCTCGGCAGTCTGATGCTCACCTGCTGGCGCCATGGCTTCACTGCAGTGCGCAGAACAGCAGCCTTGTAGAGACCCTCCTTGATGAGTCAGAGGTCCCCAAGACTCTAGGGACTGTCCCGCATGGGGACAGGAGCCCCCGAGTCATATGATGACTAGAAACTTAAGGTGGGAGTATCTGGAATCCAGTAATGAGTACCCAGTTTCTCGCTTGGGTCCCCTTAGGGAACAACCTGAGTTTGGGTTTCTGTATGGTGCTGAGCCAGTCCCTCTTCCCTCTGAGCCTCAGTTAGTCTGTGTAACAAGTGAGAAGCTCGGGATGGACGAAATGTCAGCCCTCGCACTCCTTGGGATTTGGCCTATCTGCAAAGCCGAGGTCAACCTCTCCTGTCTGAGCCTCAGTTTCTCCATCGGTAATTCGATCATCATGGCCAGGGTGACCCTGCAAACTGTCCTCTCCCAGACAATGGGGCTCACTCATGAAAGGTGCGCCCATCAATAATGGATGTCCCGTGCCTATACAATTGGGCCCTGGGCCCCGATCACTCTGCAGCCGAACCCTGGCCAGCTTGGGTTTCACAGCTCCAAGTTCCTGGGCCGGGGCCTCCGGACAGTGGCACCAAGGGCAGATCAATGATGCAGGGTAGCCATCTATGCCCTTCTCACTCACACCAGGGACTTGTGGCAGCCGCAGGGCATCTCCTTGTACGCTCACCTTGATGGGAACCCCATAGCCCAGAGCTGGACTCTGCCTCTGGGCTCTCTGCCTCCAGTCCCAGCCTCTTCACATTGGCCTCAGTGGACCTTCTAACATGCTCATCTGTCTCTCCCCTGCTCACACGCTCTCCACAGCTTCCTACCACCCTTGGGAGAAAGCTCCAGCTTGTCAGCCTGGAGGCATGACAATATGCCAAATGTGACTTCTCCGCCTCCCCATCTCTGCCTCCGTCTCCGGACCACTAACGCTCTGCCATGAAGCATTGAGTCCTGGCAAATCGCAAACATCCTCCAGCAATGTGTAGCAAGTTGTCTCCAGGTCTTCCTCCCTTCCCTCTCCCCCAGACTGACCTCATGATTTCCTTCCTCGTGAAGAAGGTGCAGTCCTGTGGAGAGAGATGTTGGCTTGGCCCAGACCCTGCCCAGGGGGGCCTTCCTCTCCCCAGAACCCCATGCTCATCTCTCCCAACGCTGCACCCAGAAACCCTTGCTGACTGCACATCCAGGACCAAGGAATGCTGTCCCCATTCCCCAGGCCAGGATTCCAAGGCTGCCAAACCCACTGAGTGCCCCACGCATCACTCCTACCTGATATGCTTCCAGCTGCTCATGAGTGAAGACTGTCTGCTTGTTGCCCATGGTGAAGGTCACCACCAGGAACAGGCCCCAGAAGCCCCCAGTCTCCTTAGGGCCACACAGTTGCCAGGCTGCCACACACCAGTGTCTGGGAAAATCTCCCTGCCCTGGCTGTCACCCGCCCACCCGCCCCATCACCCTCAGCCTGGGTGAGACTCAAGTTACAGCCAAGCTCTTTGGCCAACAGTCTGAGGTATGTCCATGGCCACCAGGGCTGTGGGAGGTCACAGAGCCTCAGACCACATCTGCCACCACCTGGTGAGCCTGTGGGGAGGGGACATCTTCCAGATACAGGCAGGGTGGTGGAGAGGCTGCAAGCACACCCCAACTCAAATACCAGGACTCCACTCATTAGCTGTGTGGCTTCAGGCAAGTCACCTGACCTCTCTGAGACTTATTTTATAACATGCAAATTACTGTAGTACCTACCACATAGAGTTGTTCTGAAGATCTATCTAATGGCCATTAATGCAACCAAAAATATGGGACTTACTAATCAACAGGCATAAAGTTTCAGTCAAACAAGATGGATAAGCACTAAGGTCTGCTGCACAACATTATACTTATTAAAATCAACATTAATGTATTACTGCACAGCTACATTTTTGAAAGGATATATCTCATGTTAAGTGTTCTTAGCATAATAAAGTGAAATAAATAAAACAAAAACATACACCTGACATACGATCCAGCACTTGCACTCTTGGGCAGTCCCAGGGAAATGAAAGCTTGTGTTCACACAAAAGCCTGTAATGGATGTCTTAGTCACAGTAGCCCCACCTGAGAAACACCCCATATGCCCTTTCCCCTTGGGGTATAAGTTATCAGTGGGGCCAATATTACCCACAAATGGCCAAAAATTGGTTTGGGGTGGGACTAAAAAGTTTTAAGATATTTTCAATTGTTTATATAGCCTGTCAAAGCTCCACCCTCCTAGATAAAATCTTATTCATCAGTATTTTCTCTCATTAAATTAAGTTAAAATTAAGTTAGAGTGTTCTTTTTAAGGGAATGGTAATGAGGGAAAAAAGATTGAGAAATACTGTCTTGAATGTACTTACACCCATTTACAGTGGATGGTTTCACAGTGTGGTGATAAAAGCCAGGATGGAACACTCAACAGAGGAGTACACTTGTGCCCCAGTTTCCCTGCCTACGAAATCAGGATGGTCTAAGATTTAGAGTCTAAGTAATACGGTGGCTGTGAGAGTAAATGAGATGACTCATGTAAGTTCACACAGGGTGTTAGCTGGCGTTATCATCATCCCCAGTTTGTGAGGAAAGGGACATCAAGACACTTTCTCCAGGGCACAAAGCCTCGGAAGTGCCAGGGACGAGCAGCACGGCTGCTGGGTTGGCTGGGGGAGAATAGATTTCTTCAGTTGAGCCTGTTCTGTCCCTCTCTGAGGAGTTGATGCTGTCATGGACGGCCCCAAGAGGAAGCTGGCACAGGCTGGCAGCCCCCATCCTTTTCCTTTGGCACTCATATTCAACTCTAGAATGCCGAAGGGGGAGGCGAGGGCTAGAAAATTGGGCAGTCACTTGCTGCCCCCTGCAGGTAGAAGTGAGAAGTGCAGTCACCGAGACTTGCTTTGTCCAATGTCGTTTAGTTTGGGGGATGCTTGCTTTTTTTCTCTCTCCTTCATCCCCTACCTTCCTCCCTCCTAAAGTCCCTGGCACAATTTGGACAACAGTACTACAATTTAAAATGCATATTACTCATTGAACCCTCAAAATATGGCAATAAAAGAGAACAGGATATCCAAGTGCACACAAAACACTCCAAAAAGACTTCGGGGTTTTAAGAAATGGGATTTGTCAAATTGGCTTCACTTGTCGGAGGGAAGGGCCTAAGGCAGAGAACCCGGAAGTGAGCTCGAAAGACGGAAGTGTGTCAGAAAACAGAAAGTGAAGGAGGCTGTAGAACCCGGCTTTCCAGGCCCTACTCATAACCCAGAAGTTTGGCCCGAGTCAGACGCCAAAGACGCGTGAACGCCGCTGAGCTCGGCCAATCAAAACGAAGTGGGGCGGGAGTTCTACCGGATATAGTGTTCTCAAACAGGAAGTGAGGCAGTTTACCTACTGAACTGCGGACCGGTTCCATGGCGGCCTACGAGCAGGTCCAAAAAGGGCCATTGAAGCTGAAAGGCGTCGCAGAGCTCGGCGTGACCAAGCGGTGAGTCTCAAGAGCCCGCGGGAACCCATCTTCCGCCCCCTTAAGCATCTTTCCCAGACCCCGGGCTCTTGCTCTCTGACGCGACCTTACTCCATCTCCCTCCTCATTCCGGTCTCGTCTACCCTCCCAGGAAGAAGACAAAGAAGGACAAAGACAAGGCGAAACTCCTGGAAGCCATGGGAACGAGCAAAAAGAACGAGGAGGAGAAGCGGCGGGGCCTGGACAAGCGGACCCCCGCCCAGGCGGCTTTCGAGAAGATGCAGGAGAAGCGGGTAAGGCGGACGGATAGGCTGGGGCTGCCCAGGTCCCTGGGCCTGGGTCTCTCGGAGTGGGTGCTTAGGAAGGACCGGGAGACTCGAAACCCGGGCAGCCTCGCGAAGAGCTAGAGGTGTGATTGAAGGAGGCAGAGCTGCAGACCCAGGTTTGGGTTCCGGTGCTGCCCTCGTTTTCCCTGTGACGCTGGGCCAGTAACTCATCTGGGCCCGTGCCTCAGCTTTCTCATCTGTAGGGTCAGGATAGTACTTTCTACTTTCGAGATGCAAGTAAAGCATTTCTTAATGGCCATGCCATTAAGGTCTGGTGTAAAGTCAATACTCAGTTGATGTCAGCTGTTGATATTAAATGGCCATACTCCCTGCTGTAGGTCACTACAAAATCTGTTTTTCATGACAGTTTTGTTGGCAGATTCAGATATGTTTTTTAAGCTCTGTTAAACTAATTAATATTAAACATTTAATAAATGTAGGTGGTGGGGGATAGGAAGGATCAGCTTTAGGCAGATTAGCTTGGCCTGTTATGCTGGGGATTAGGGAATAATAGGTCTAGGTCAGTGGTTCTCAGCTGAGGGCCCTTTTGTCCCCCTACTGACATTCCCAAGAAGTCTTCTGACAATGGAGACATTTTATTTGTCTCGACTCAGGCTGTGTGCTCCTGGCATCTACTGGATGGAGGCCCAGGATGCTGCTGAGCACCCTGCAGTGGTTGAGACAGTGCCCCCTGCAGGAAAGAATGATCTGACCAAAACATCAATAGTGCCCAGGCTGAGAAACTAACCCTAGTCTGGGTGATTTGTTCCAGTGACATTAGGAAAAAGTTTACTCGTTGCTGTCAGGCCTAATTCATTCATACCAAAAAAGAGAAAAAAGATGCACTGGCTTTGGCAAGACAGACCTGGGTTCCACTCTCTCTCTCTACTATTTGTTGATGGCGTAAGTTGGGGCAAGTTGGCTAACCTCCAACTTCAGTTTCTTCATCTGTAAATGGGGGTTGATGTCCTTAGCTCATTGTTTTGTGGTGAGGATTTAGCAAGTGAATGCACTCAAGTCCCTTCTCTCAGATCATAGGCAGAAGCTGGGCTGGGACGTTACTCTTGGAGCAGGGGGGAGATAGGGAGAAGCTAATGCAAACTAAAAGGTCAGGCGGTAATAGTGGAAGCTGTGAGAGATAACAGGTTTGGGATAGATTTTGAAGTAAGAACAGCATGATCAGCTGATGGATTGGATGTGGGCTGGGAAAGAAGAATCAAGGATGACCAAAATTTTTGGCAAAAGTCGTGTGGATGAAGGTACCACTTAGACAGGAAGGACTGTGGATAAAACAGGTTTCTAAAGGAAGGTATCAAGACCTTAGTTTTAGCCCTGTCTGGGTAGTTCAGTTGGTTAGAGCATCATCCCACCACGCCAGGGTTGGGGTTCAATCCCTGGTCAGGGCACGTACAATAATCAACCAATGGGTAGAACAACAAAATGGTGTTACTCCCTCTGTCTAAAATTAATGGGGGGGGGGATATGTCAGTTTTAGAAAAGTTAAATTTGAGGTACTTGTTAGAAATTCAAGTGGAAAGTGCTCATGGATACTTTGATATCTGAATCTGCAGTTTTGTGGCAAGGTCTGGGCCCCAGATGTTCATTTGCAATTGCTGTGAGGCTGGATGAACTCCTCTGAGCAGGGACAGTGACAGAAAGAGGTCTAAGGTCTAACCTCTGGTGATTAGAGGGTGGCAGAGAAGAAACTGCAAAAGAGCATGGGAAGGAGGTATACCAGGAGAGAGTGTGTTTGTAGCAGCTGAGTGGAGAAAGTGTTTCCGGGACGAGGAAGTGATCAGCGGTCATGTGCTGCCAAGAGGTCTCATCGGTGAGCACTGAGACACTTAGTTAGCATTTGGAATGAGGAGGAAGACAGAGTCATTAAATGTAATATTGTATGGCAACTATAATTTAAAATAAACTTAAAGAGAAAGTTGGCTTTGAGCGAAGGTGGGAAAAGGCAGAGGAGGACTAGACATGGCCACTAGGAGATTTACTGTCAGAGGCAACTGAAAAACAGGCCTGTAGCTGGAGGTGGTAGAAAGTCAAGAGGAAATTTTTGCTGTTGGCATTTAAAACCAAAAGTCCTGTTGCTGGTTTTGTTTGACCCAGGAGAGAGAGGTGAGGTGAGGTGAACGAGAGAGAAGGGAGGTGTGGGCAAAGCTAGGTACCATTGGGCATTGCAGATTCCCTTGTGGAGGGTGTTTGATTGAGCACAGGGAGCAAAAAGGCTGGGCCTGGACTCCTGGCTCCTGTGTGCAGGGTCCTTGGGGTGGGCCCCTGCCTGTTGGGAGGGGTCAGGGCTTGGTATCTCCAGGCCCTTCACCCCTTGTGAACTCTGGTCCTTATTTTCTCTGTGTGTGAAGTGGAGATGGTGATGGTAACAGCACCAAAGTCATCCTGGAACTTGGTGTGTGGACTGGGGAGAGAGCCTGCCAAGGGCCTGGTATTGGTGACAGCTGGTGAAGTCAGTTCGGCCTCCTATGAGGAGACACAGGCCTCACGTGGGCTCACAGCATCCGGAAGAGAGGCAGGGATGGACAGGGCAGGCACTTCAGAGGGAGGGCCAGCCAGCTGGTAGCTGACTGGAATCAGAGGAAGATGAGGCAGCAAAGGAGAAGAGGAGGGACAGGGAGCCACAGCCAGGCGGCAGCTCATGGGTCTGTGGATTGAAGGCTCAGCAGGGTGGTGCTGCCGACCTTGCTTAGATGAGTCTGGTGTACTCAGGTGGCAGCCAGGGCTGGAGGCCTGCCTGGGCTGGAACACCCAAGATGGTTTTGCTACCATGTGTCCAGTGCCCCTCAGACCAAAGGGCAGCTGACCCAGGTTTCTAGTGGGGTGTATTGTAGTCAGGTGTCCCTGTCGGACCAGCCTGAGTGGAGTTGAGGGGCTTGGGACCTCAGCTGTTCCAGGTGTCAGAACCAGGCTAGCCAGGGCTCCCATCTTCCGTCTTGTGCCGGCCCGGGCTGTGTTGAGCATGTGACTCACCTGCATTTCTCTCCTCTCTTCAGCAAATGGAAAGGATCCTGAAGAAAGCCTCCAAAACTCACAAGCAAAGAGTGGAGGTAAGTCTCACACTCGGTGGGGGAGGTTGAGCCACGTGGGTCCTGGCTGGGCCCGGAGACTTGGAGCCTGGCAGAGGAGCTGTTGGCAGCTCATCAGTGGGGAGGGGTTTACCCAACTTCCCTGGGGTCACTGAAGGGAGAGGGCAGGGTTTAGGTGGCTGTGAGGCCTGGCAGGGGGGCTTTGAGAGGACAGGCTCACCGAGGGGAAACAGGATGTGGGGAAGTGGAGGTGGATGGTGCCACATGCCCCTAGTGCCCTGCTCGGTGCTGTGATGACATGGCTTTTTTCCTTGGCTTTCCCAGGACTTCAACAGACACCTGGATACACTCACAGAGCACTATGACATTCCCAAAGTCAGCTGGACGAAGTAGCCTCCCTGCCCTGGGTATGGAGTGGCACCGAGGGGATTGGAAGGCCAAGCTGGGATTATGTTTGGAGCCTTTAGCATTTTCTAGAAACATTCTTTTGCATATACCTTTGAATCCTCTGCTGAGACTGCTTTATCAGAACGGTGTGCTCTCATTCTGGAACTTGATTAAATTAAGACTATCCTTTTACTCTATTTCAGCTTCTCAGTAGCACATTGAAGATGAACCTTTTAGTTTGCACTGGAAATTATTGAGTTTATCTAGAGATTAAGGTTATTTCTGTGTAAGTGCCACGGAAGTGTTTTTACACCCAAGTTGCATCTAACTCATTTTGACAGGCAGCCACCTATCCTCGCCTGGATGAAACTGATTCCAGAAAGAAGAAGCCGCAGTGTACAGACCCCTACAGGGTTCCGCATGGTCTGCCCTTCCAGCTGGGAGCTCATGCTGTTCCATCCAGGGCCTGGGGAAGCCACTTGTAGCTTTGTGGCCTTCAGACTGCCTTCTGAGCCACCTGGCCAGGGAGAACAACCACCTAAGGCAAGGATGGGACAAACGCCTTGCCCCTTTCTGAGCCGAGCTGGTGGTGGCCAGCATGCAGCCTGTTCCCCCAGTGTCCCCATTTCAGACACAGCAAGTAGGTATTGCCATGGCAGGTGTTGCCAGTCAAGTGTCATGTTCTTTGTAATGGAACCCAGATACCAGCTGCCTCACTACCCTCGTTCCTGCCTTTCCAGCAGCCCCCAAAGTTCATTCAGAGTTGGTACATACATGGAAACCTGTTTGGCATTCCTAAAGACACCTCTGGGTGATGGGACCAGGGCAGAGCCCCAGCACAGGCATATGGGTGCAGCCCAAGGGGAGGACGCAGGTTCCAGTACTGGAGAGCCAGGGTCTTAAGGGGCCTGCTTGTCCCCACTGCAGGAGGATCAAAGTGGGAGAAACAGTCTTTGTTGACGTAGACTAGAAAAAACAACAGATTCAGAAGATAATTCTAAGTGTTAGACTCGTGGCTATCATACGTGATCTGGAGAATAAAGCAAACCAGTTATTAAATACAAGTCTGAGTGTTTTAAATTATAGGTTGTTTTATCACTAGAAACTCTGCCTTTGGTATATATTGCACACAAAGTGTATACTGCAAAACGACCACTTGCCCTCAATTTGGAGAAAATTGGATGACGTGGTTCCACCTGTGGTTCACAATCCACTGAAGAGGTGTCATACTCATGAGCACTGGCTCCTTTGGGCAGCCTCCCTTATTGCTTGGTGTAAAGGCACTTGCAGGTCATTTTTAAAAAGATTTTATTTATTTTTAGGGAGAAAGGAAGGGAAGGAGAGAGGGAGAGAAACATCAATGTGTGGTTGCCTCTTGTGTACCCCCTATTGAGGTCTGGCCTACAACCCAGACATGTACCCTGACAGGGAAGCAAACCAGTGACCCTTTGGTTCACAGGCCAGCACTCAATCCACTGAATCACACCAGCCAGAGCACTTGCAGGTCTTTTTTTATCCACGAGCAGAAGTTAGAGTCTGAAGCATGATGTGCTGTGAAAAGTCAGTATGTGGAAGATTAACATTCCAACTCCCCACCTAATAAACCTCTCCAAAACAGAGTGGCTTAGAACTATAGGATGTCCCAATTCTGTTGGTGCTCAGCCAGATGATCCTACTCCATGTGGTGTAGTTTAGTTCCCTTGTATGGCGGCATTGAGTTTCCTGGGACCAGAAAGTTCAAGGTGGCATCTCATCCTCGAGATTTCTCCATGTACTCTTTCATTGGCCCACACAGGTCACATCACCCAGTCCATGTTTAAGATTGTGAAGAAGCCTCTCTGGGCTGCTTTGTGTAGGACTGCTTCCAGACTAGGAAATATTCCAGTGTTCTTGGGTTTTCCTGCACTTAATCTCTACCCTAAGCAGAGGGCATATTGCAGAAGCCACCTTTCAAAACCCCAGAGGGAGATAAGGAGAAACGACCAAAACTGAGAGGCAGGCAGCACGAGTAAATGGCTGTGATTGAAATCACCAAGGCACTGGTTCGTTGGCACAGGATGCAGGCACTTTTCCACAGCCTGAATGTTAATAAAAGCAAATGAGATACAATCCAATTGACTAATCAGGGGTCACAACTACAGAAATAAAACACGTGCTTTTCGCTCAGGTTCAATGGAGCGTGGTTTTCAGATCATTCCAGAAGATAAACAGGCAGGCTTTTTCACTGACAAATGCTGACACTAAGGTGACAGGCAGTGAGTGTTGGTTAGGCTTGATTGCCACTCAGGATTTGTTTGCCCTCTTTCTAAGTAACCTCCCCGTAAAATGTATCACAATTGGCGACTGCATATTTGTTTCCTGGTCTCCACCAGAATAGTTCCATAGGGCTGGGCCCAACATGGATCCAGCAGGGGGATCTCTTACCTACCTAACTAAGCTCGTAGGTCGGAGTTCCCAGCTGCCAAGTTTCCAGCGCCCAGCTAGGCAGGTGAAGGGTGCCAGTTTATCAGTTGGCTCCGCCCTACCCCACCCCTCTGTGTCTCACTTCCGGGGTGATTTAGGTGGGAGTGGGAAATAAGGTCTCATTGGGCGTATTGCGCCTGCGCATATTCCGTCCCGCGCCTGCGCATTTCTAGCAGCTCCTCCCCAGACCGGACGTAACGGTCTCCGCGAGGCTCCCGGGACCGGAAGTGGAGGCGAACGGTCGCGGGAAGTGCCTGGCCTTCCTCAACGCCCGGCAGTTTTTGCGGTCGCCACCACTCTCGGCCACTGCCGAGGCTTCCCGCAGCCGTCATGTCCGCCAGTGCCGTTTACGTGTTGGACCTGAAAGGCAAGGTACGGAGGGCTCCCCACCCTCTCCGTTGCCAGGCAACCGGCGAGAACCTAGTCCCTGGGGACCAAACCTGTTGCTGGGTAACCGCCCAGTGGGGCCCACCCTGGTCCTGGGCAAAAAAACCGATCGGTCTAACCCTGGTGCTTGATAACCGGTCTGCCCAATCTCGCTTCTACTGTGAGCTGGGGTCTCAGACCTCCGTGTGGGCCGCAGGGAAGGCAAGCCGAAGCCTGCTTTGGAGCCAGACCTAGAACAGAGCGGCTGCGCGACCCTGGGCCAAACGTGGTGAGGCGTGTCGGGACCAGTGTGTCCTCGGGCGAGACCCTCCCCCTAGGACTACTGCAAGCTTGTGTTTATCTGGCTGTTTCTCTGTGCCAATCTCTATGAGTTTATTAACGTTCGTTGTGACATTTAAGTTACAGGGGTTAGGCGAGGTGGGTGAAACTGAGGCACGGAGAAGTAAAGTAACACAACCCATTTAAGGTCACACGGGTCGCAGAGAAGTGGTAGGTTAAGTGAACCCAGAACCATTTGTTTATTCAGCTGATAATTTAAGGAGCACCTCCTAGGTGCCAGACAGGGTGCTAAGCCTTGGGCGAGCAGACCCAGGTGGAGCTCACAGTCTGGGGGAGAGGGACACTGATCTCAAAAAACCTCAAATAAATGTAAGTTGCAGTAGTGCTGCAATGAGGGTAGAATAGGGAGACTCAGCCTCAGCTGGGGGTCAGGGAAGACCCCCTGGAGGGAGTGACAAATCTGAGACATGAAGGAGGAGTTGGACATAACTAGGACCCAGGTGCCTTTTCTAGGAGTATCTGAGAAAGCTGCTTAGAGGGCTCTCAAATCCTTTTAGAAGGGTCTGCTGCCTTCCCTCTAGTCTGTTCTGCTGGATGGAAGGCAAGGGAATGTCTGGCCCCTTGCATCTGGGAGCAACAAGAAGAGGCCCAACAACATTAAACTTTAAGTTCCAGGTCAATCAGTGAGAGAACCGTGGATGTCGGGCCAAGGGGCAGGCAGGAGTTAACTCAGAAGTAGGGGAAAGTGAAGTTGAAGTGGCTGCTGCTTCCTGTCCTACTCCCCACCCCAGCACTTTCCCAGAGTTCCTTGAGTGGGTTTCCTGCCTTGGATGCCACCCAGAATCAACAGCCGGTGATTCCCAGTACTGGGCTTCCTTCCCCAGTCTTCTTAGAGGCAAGGAAAGACACAGGGTATGCCAAGGCTGGGTGGGTGCTAGATGGGGCCCTAGGGCCTGGTAGCATATGTTCTTGCTTCCACCTTAGCAACTGGGTCCCCAGGGGTTCCACAGACTACCTGTCACAGCTCACTTGTTTCTTCAGCAGACATTTCAGCAGTGCCTAACATGCACTAAACCCTGTGCTGACCATCTCACCGTGACTGTGGAGTTATGGCTGAGGTCAGAGCTCAGTGGTATGACAGCAGGTGCCGTCACCACTCTGGGCTCGCAGTTCATACTAGCACCCATGAGCTTGGAGGCCTGGCAGGAGAAGTACAAGGGTCCAGATAGTCAGGTCCAGTTAGCCATATGGCATGGACAAGGCCCGGGGTAATGCAACTACCCAGCCTCAGTTTGGGCTGGAGAGATGATTATGGTGCTTCTGAGAAGAGCTAGAGAGGTGACCAGCTGGCAGTCAAATGGGCAAGAAGGCATTGCAGTGGGCTCAAATGGGCTGCAGTGGGCCCCCAGAAGTTTTGGGTAATGCTGGAGTGTGGAGGATGGCATGAGGAGGACAGTGGGTGTTGAGGATGTCCAAACAGGAAAGAGGGCCAATTTGATCTCAGGAGCCACCACAAGGACATGGTAGCCCAGGAGAAGCGTGGTCAGTCCTTCCTTGTGGGAAGCCCCTGAGGCAGCTGTCGTGTCATTTACTACTTCACTCCCCACAGAGTGTGTGCTTTGAAAGTTTGTCTCCTGTGTAGACTGCATTTAAACCAAAATAAGGTCATAGCACATCAAGAAATTCACAACCAGTCTCTGGCCCGGTTGCTCAGTTGGTTGGAATGTTGTCCTGTGCACCAGCAGGGTTATAGGTTTGATTCCAAGTCTGGGCACATCTGTCTACCCCAGAACCTCTGATCACCAAGGAGACCGGCATGGCCATACTTAGCTGACAGAAAGCTCTCCATGACACTTCTCTGCCCTTACCTCTTTTCTTGCTCTTCTGTAGCTTCTGACCCCACTACCACTTCCTGCTCTGCAGGCTCCTGCTGGCCTCCAGGTCAGTGGACTCAGTTTTCCTCCCGTTTCTCTCCCTGGCTTCCAGCCCCTCCTCTCCTGCCCTCCCCTGGGGTGTTGTCCCTCAGGCTCGGGCCTAGGTGCGCCTCTCGTGCTCTCCTCTCCTTGGTCTGGCTTTGATTCATACCATTGTGCCTCTCACTCACAAATTCATACTGTAGTCCAGAGCACTCATCTGGACACCCACCAGCCTGTGTGGGCCACCATGGAGGTCCCCCAGCAAACACAAACTCACCATTTACCAAAACGAACTGCCAGTCCCCTCCCCCACATCTGCTCTCTCTCCCTCTCTCCCCGTCTCAGTGAGAGGCACCGCTCTCCAGCGAACTGCGCACACTGGAGACCTGAGCATTGTCCTGGCCTCCTTTTCCTCAACTCCACGTACTGCACAGATACTTACCAAGCAACTGCCACGGGCCGGGCACTGTTCTGGAGGGTGGGACACAGCAGTGAAAGAGTTGGAAGTGGTGGCTGTTCTCAGGGACGGTTAGACTCTGGTAGAAGCTATAGGCAATAATTGAGGACACGAATAAATGTATTCAGTATAATGCAGCTGTGGTAAGGCTGGTAAAGGTGCACTAGGGTTGGGGGTAGAGAGGGGTGGGATGTGCTCTCTCAGCCGGAGCAAGCAGGGAAGATTTCTTGGAGAAAGTGCCATCTGAGCTGAGGCTTGAGAAATGAGAAGAGCTGCGCCAGGGCATTTCGGGCAGAAGGGGTGTATGTGCAAAGGCCCTGAAGCTGGAGCAGATGTGGATCGCTCAGAGACCAGCGAGGGGGCCGGGATGGCTAGAGTGGGGTGAGCCTGGATCTATTGCAAGTGAAGTTGCATGAATGTTCGTGTCTGAACCTTCCCACAAAGAGTACGGTTTCACTTCCCTTACGTAAATACCTGAGAGAGGAACGGCTGGGTCGTAAGCTGGTTTAGCTTTGTGAGGATCTGCCAGACTTGACTGAAGTGGTTGTCCCATTCTTCGTTGCGGATGTCACGTATCGAGACCCCCAGCCTGTGAAAGAGAGAGGCAGGAGAAGGGCTTCTTCCCGGCCACAGGGGGTTTCTGGCAGACCCCCAAACAGGTGCCCTGACCCAGGCAGAAGAGCAGGGCGAGGCAGCTTGGGAAAGGCTCTGAGGAGGCCTGCAGTGAGGGTCTACAGGACATCGTCGGACCAGGCGTCTCCTGAGTAATTCAGTCCTGGACCCGTGGTCCACATCCCTTCCCACCAGGAGTGCGAAGAACGCCACCAGCCCCTGCAGAAGTTCACTTGGGAAATGCTCTCCTGAGGAATTCCCTGGGGGTAGCAGTGAGGTGGCCTCCATCTCTGCCCTTTGACAGAGGTGTGATTGGGGTCCCCTGAGGGAGGGAAGGTGGCATGTTTCACCCCTAGGCACTCAAAATGAAAGCGCCGTCCCTGTCTTCCATCCCGGCCCAGGTGCTCATCTGCCGGAACTACCGAGGTGACGTGGACATGTCGGAAGTGGAGCACTTCATGCCCATCTTGATGGAGAAGGAGGAGGAGGGGATGCTGTCGCCCATCCTGGCCCACGGGGGTGTCCGATTCATGTGGATCAAGCACAACAACCTGTATTGTATCCTTTTGCAGGAGAGCCCCCAGGGGATTCCTTGGTGGGTATGTACGTGTGCACTTGTGCACACATGCAGCTGAGAGCTGCCAGCCCCTGCCCTGTCCTGGCCCACAGCTGGCCCGGGTATGGCAAGGCCATGAGGCCTGGCCCTGCCCTGCTCTCCTGGAGCTCCCTGCTGCCTGGGGAGATGGACAAGGGTCATGGGTGTTAGAAGAAGAGGGGGTGTGATGGAGACCTCACCTGGTCTGGGGATCCAGGAAGGCTTCCCTGAGGAGGTGACATTCTAGAGGAGACCTGCAGGAATGCAAGGCACTTGCCAGCCAGAAGAGTGGTCAGGCCCAAAAAGCACTAGGTCTGAGCGAAGGCTCTGCCAGGGAAAGCGAGGCTCGTTCCATAACCTACGGGGTGGGTGGCTGGCTGGACCATGGAGAAGGGATGTGTGGTGGGAGTGAGGCCCCAGTGGTCACCAGGGTGCATATTGCAGGGTCTCGTAGGATATCACTTTAAATATGATGGGAAGTGAACAGCTAGGGAAGGGCTAGGGGAGGCTCTGAGCCCCAGGGTCTGCGAGGTGGCGGCTCAGGCCTCTGAACGCTCCTTAACTGCAGCTGCCATGCAGTGGTCGCCACCTCTAAGAAGAACGCGTGTGTGTCACTGGTATTCTCTTTCCTCTATAAGGTGGTGCAGGTGAGTCCAGCCACAGGCCCCGGAAGGGTGTTGGTCACCCTGGCTCTTGTGTGCCTCCCCATAGCAGCCACCCAAGAGTTGCAGCAGCCCCAGGGAGTTCTGGGGCTGAAATCCCAGAAAGTGGGCTGGGGGAGCTCCAGGTGTCCCATGTATGGGATTCGACAGCCTTAGCTGCCCCAGCCACCCACCCCTCAAGTCCTAATGAGGAGAAGAAAGTGAACAGGAGAAGGTGGGGCTCAGGGCAATCAGGGGTGCCCCCAGCCTGGAAGGGATAAGTATGCCCCCTAGCTGGCTGTGGAAGGCTGGAGGCTGGCCAGCAGAGAGTCAGGGCTCCGAGAGGTGAGGTAAGCAGAAGGGCAGAGCCAGGCTCTGCTCAGAATCTCCCGGGAGGCTCTCAAAGTAGAGGCCTGCTGAGGCCAGCCGTGGAGAGAGCTGACACACACCAGGCCCAGCGAGATAGGCAGAGAGAGCTGCACATGCAAATGCCCTGGGGCAGGAGTGCACGTGGTACGGTCAGAGAACCTCAGGCAGGACAGTGTGCCCAGGACACAGGGAGCAAAGGACAGAGTTTGGGGCTGAGGTCAGCAAGGTTGGCGGGGCTGGACCATGGTGGACATGGGGGTGGCATGCACGGCCTAGTGAGTTCAGACTTTAGTCCAAGTGTGATGAGAGATGGTGGGGGGGCTTTAAGCGAAGCCTGCCCAGACCTGATCCGAGTTAAGATCGTCTCTGGCTGCTGAGTAGAGAAAGAATGTGTGGGCAGCAGGAAGGCCAGTGAGGAGGTTGCCGCAGCTTCTAGAAGACATATGGAGGGTCCTGGTTGAAGCTGGAATGAGGGGTTGAAGAAGGTGGAGAATCGAACCCAGCAGGCCCAGGGTGGGCCCAGGAAAACTTTTATACCTCCAGTGGTACCCCGTGCACGTAGCTCAGGAGCCACCTGTGCTAAATCTTGGGGACCCTGGGCTGGTGGTGAGGACGTGGAGGGGGGTGCAGGGTGGGAGGAGAGCCAAAAGCAGGCCTGCACTGTGGAGCAGTGGCACGTCGCAGGCAGGGCCTGGGACTGGGGAAGTGAGAGGGGAGAGTCCTCCATTCTGGAGTGTCTGGCAGTTCTCTCTACTTTGCTGACTTGCCTTTAGCATCGGTGCCGATGGAACATCTTCCCTTAGCATTCTTTCCTTGAGCAGCCTTCTTATTTCCTATGGAAACAGGGAAGATAAATCTGTCGGCATAGCTATATGGACTGGCAGCTCAGGGAGGCTGGAAATGTCCAGAAACACCACTCGTCCTGTCCCCAGTGGCTCTTGGCTCTCACTTGAGTCACCTCTGTGACTCAGAGGCCAAAGGTGGCAGTCACAGTGGGGATTAAAGAGAAGCTGGCTGTCAGGGGAGGAGAGTGGACCATGGGGATGGGGACACAGGCATCTGCCTGCTTCTCAGGCAGCCACATTGCTGCCCCCGAGTCAAAGGTCTAGTCCATAGTATGTCACCATGACTAGGAAATGGGCAAATGCAGCTTGTGGGCAAAAGGGCTGTTGTCTCTGGGCCCTGGGGTGTGAAGGGCAGCTGGGTTTGTGCAGGTGTTTTGCCTTCTCCGTCCTTCCTCTCACCCATCCGCCTCCTCCCGCTGCCGACACACAGGTGTTTTCAGAGTACTTCAAGGAGCTGGAGGAGGAGAGCATCCGAGACAACTTTGTCATCATCTATGAGCTGCTGGATGAGCTCATGGACTTCGGCTACCCCCAGACCACAGACAGCAAGATTCTGCAGGAGTGAGTGGGCAGGCTGGCGGGTCTGGGGTGGGAGTCACAGCAGTGCACAGTTTGGGATCCTTTCCCACGCCGCAGCCCTGCGTAGCAGGAGCATTTCCCTGTCACTGGGTCTTTATTTTTCATCTACTACGGTGCGCTCAATGCTTGGTGTAGGGAGTTGGTTGCCTGCCTTTGTTCTCACTGTCACAGAGGAGATGTGATAAAGTACCTTCCTTCTCTGGAACCCTGCCCTTCACACAGTGTCCTCCGTGGATTAAGCACTCCCTGTGGGCCAGGCCCTGTGTGAGCATTTGACATCCGCTCAAGTCACCATCCTAGGTGCTGCTTCCCACAGGGGGGCAAAGGGATCTTGCAGAAGCCGAGTAACTTGCCCACGTCTCATACCTGTTGCTCCCCACTTGGCAGCGGGACCACCAGGTTACTCTCCCAAGGGGGTCAGTCCGCCCCTGCACACTAGCAGTGGTTGTCTTCATTACGGTTGTCTCCTTGGACCCCCCAATGAATGTTCTGTGCTGATTGTAACAGGTTTGTTGGTTTTTTTAAATTGTAAGGTATTCCTTGTAAGGTACTCCTGAATTTAAATAGCTACCAGTGAAACCAGAGCCTGCCTTTTCTGGAACCTGCTACAGTGAGGGGCTGTTTTCAGGAACAGCAGTGCCTGGCCACCTTAACGCTGAGCATGGTCCCACAGGTACATCACTCAGGAAGGCCACAAGCTGGAAACAGGGGCCCCACGGCCCCCAGCCACTGTCACCAACGCAGTGTCCTGGCGGTCCGAGGGCATCAAGTACCGGAAGAACGAGGTGTTCTTGGATGTCATCGAGTCTGTCAACCTTTTGGTGGGCTTCCTTCTTTTTTACTTTAAAAAAAAATTATGTCTTCTCCATGATTGTTGTAAAAGCAGCTGGTCTTTTAAAACTAGCAAAGCCCTGAGAAACGTTCAGGTTCCCTGTGGTCGATCAGCGGGATTCGATTGGCTGCTCCCCGCGATGTGAGCTCATTCCGTCTTCATGGGTTTTTCTCACTTAGAACCAACACAGGAACATTGTTATTTTGTTTGTTTGTTTTGTTAAACAGCATGTAAAGTTAGGGAGTGAAGGACTCCGTAATCAGAAAGCCCGCCTCGCTTAAGAATTCATTGTCATCCTTTAGGACTTCTTTCTGTGGGTACGTAAACAGATGTTCTTTTTCTCTACAGCTGAGAGTGTAAGGTGTGGTTCTCCAGCACCTTGTTTTTTTGCTGGGTGGGTTGTTGTTTTACTGTTTTGTGTATCCTTGTTTTTTAAAAAATTATTATTAGGTAGAAGTGACCTGTGAATTTTAGGGTATGCACGTAATTGCCCATTACCATTGTCAGGGGCACTGAGGAGCTGTCACCTGAATGCCTCCCTCTTGCCTCCCCCTGCTGGTTGCGCCCTCCTGCTGGTCTCCAGCCCTGGCAACCACTGATCGGACCTGTGTCACTGTAGTTCTCTCTCTGAGGTGGTCGTATGAGTGGCACCCTACAGGATGTGACTTTTTGAGTCTGGCTTCTTTCACTCGGCATACAGCCTTTGAGGTTCATCCACATTGCTGTGTTTATCGAAAGTTTGTTTCTTCTTGTGTTTATTTCTACTTGTATTCTGAACCACCACGTGTTTATGTGTTCACCCACTGAAGGGCATCGTGCTGTTTCCGGTGTTTGGCCTTTGTGGATAGAAGTGCCTTAAATATTTTGTGTGTGGGCTTAGCGGTGTGCAGAAGTTTTCATTTCTCTAGGGCAAATACCAAGGAGTGGGATTGCTGGGTCTTATGGTAAGTGTGTATTTACTGCTACGAGAAACCATCAGGCTGTTTTCCAGAGTGGCCCCACCATTTTGCACCACGCCCCCAGCCCCATAACGTATGAGAGTTCTGGTTGCTTCACATCCGTGATCAGCACTTTTATTTTTGTCCCCCTAACATGTATGTAGTGGTACCGTCATGGCTTTACTTTGCATTTCCCTAATGGCTGGTGATGGTGAACTTCTTTTCATGTGCCGCCTTGTCACCCGTGTGGCCTCTTTGGAAACCTGTCTCCTCATGTCTCTTGAGCATTTTTAAACTGGGTTTCTGTTTTCTGATTATTGAGTTTTGAAAGTTCGGTATATAATTCTTTTGTCAGATATGTGATTTGCAAATGTTTTCTCCCCTTCTGTTGCTTGCCTTTTCCTTCTCTTGGCGGTGTCTTTTACAGAGCAAAAGGTTTTAATTTTTAGAAAGTCTTACCGATTTTTAAATATTGATTCTAAATTTATTTCTTCACAGTTTTACATTTAAATCTATGATCAATTCTGAGTTAAATTTCACATAAGCCATGAGGTTTATATTCTTTATTTCGCACATAGCCCAGTTTTTTTGCAGTTGTTCTAACATAATTTTTTGAAAGGTTTCTCTATTGAATTCCTTTTGCATTTTTGTCAAAAGTCAATTGGCCGTAATCTATGCAGGACTGTTTCTGGACCGTCTGTTCTGTTCCGTTGATCTGCTTGCCAATTGTCTTGATAACTGTGACTTCATAGTAAGTCTGAAGATCAGATCATGTGACTCCCCCAACATTCTCTCTCTTTTCCCAAAAACTATTCAGTGCCTTTTTATAGCATTTTAGGATCAGCTTGCCTATATCTACAAAGAAGTCTGCTGGAAGTTGGTATTATGTTAAATAATTCTATTATTCAGTTTGGGGGAGAATTGTTATCTTTAGAATATTAAGTCTCACAACCCGAGAAACACTGTTTCTCTATATACCGGGTGGGGGGAAATAGGTTTATAGTTGTGATTATGGAAAATAATACAACGATTAGTAAATAATACAAGAATAGACTCTGTTTTCTACAAACCTACTTTTGCCCCCTCCTGCACTTAGGACATCTTTGATTACTTTCATTAGTATTTTGTAGTTTTTGTCATGTATTGGGTTGGCCAAGAAGTTTGTTTAGTTTTTTCCGTAAAATAAAAGATAAATTTTCATTTTCACTAATAACTTTGTTGGTTTGGATATTTTGAGTGTGTCGGTTATCTCCTGCTATTGGCTTCTAGTGGGCAGAGGCCGTGCTGCTGCTAAACATCTTCCAGTGCTTAGGACGGCCCCACTGCAAAGAATTATTTGGCCAAAATGTCAGTGGTATCCAGAAACTTCGCATACCACTTTTGACACATTCAGTTAGTCATAGCACCTTCTCCATACATTGCACAAACCCTTTTTTTGTGTTTCAGTTGCCTTTTTACCTTTCTTGAAATAGTAAAACACAATACGTCAAAAATGTTGCACTTCTCCCATCTTCAGTGTTAAAATGGCCGCACAAAAATTCACCAATTTTGTGTGTGTGTGTGTGTGTGTGTGTGTGTGTGTGTGTGTTTAGTGCATGCTGATATGACAGCTGTCACAATACACAATGCAACACAGTTGTTTTGAATGAAGTTAAAGACAACTAAGCGCTACTAGAGTTATCGTACGGGAAAAACGTAATGGATTTTTTGGCCAATCCAGTACATGTATTATTAGATTTATACATAAGTATTTCGGTTTTTGAAGCTATTATAAATTGGGTTTTTCCCTTTTATTTGGTAGAATTCACCAGTGAAACGATCCGAACCTGGAGATTGCTGTCTCAGAATAGTTTTAATTCCCAATTTCAGTTCTTTAAGTTGGTCCGTTTCACACGGGGGGGAGGGGCACTGCCCCTTCTTGGCTCCTCCCGGATCCTCCTGCCAACCTTTCCTGTTTCCCGGAGTCGCCAGGGCCTCCCCTGCCCGGGTTTTGTAGTTGAGTTTGGTGGCAGAGGGACACTAGCCGACCCTGCCCCACTTGCGGTCTGCCTGTCTTCCCATCGGAGGTGGCCCCCCCTCCACCGTTTGGGTGGCCTGGGAGGACTGGGCCGGTCCCGGCATGCAGTCCACTCAGGTGTGCCCAGTCTCGCTGGGACAGACAGTGCAGAAGTGCGTGTGCCCGTGTGTCCTTAGGCATGCGTTTGGACATCTTCCTCATGTGGGTGGTATTTGGAGGCTGAGTTCGCAGACGTGGCGTTGTGGGGAGTGCCTCCCAGGGAGATGCTCCTGGTGGACTTAACGTAACTCTCTTTGCCTTCTTACTTTTTAAGTCAAGGGACAAGGTGGTGGCCTCTCTGTGCTCCTGTTCTGCCTGAGGACCTTGGTCTAAATTATTTGTTGAGCCCAAAACATGGTCCATCTGGCTCTGTAGCGTCCTGGGTGGAAAAGCAAATCCCAAGAGCAGTTTATAAACTGCTGCATGAGAAAGTGTGAAGGGTTCAGAGGGTTTCGGGGCATGTTTTGGGAGCTGTGCCCAAAGAACCCTGTTCCTGCATGCACTGAGGCAGCACGAGGCAGGTGTGGGCATCCAGGCACGTTAGAACGCCTCATCCTAAGTGTGTTTGCAGAGCTGGCTGCTGAGTCAACATCAGCCTCTGGATTCCAGAAATCTAAATGGAGTGGTGTACTTAAGCAGCCAGTCCTCAGCAAACATCTCCTCCGTGCCCACTCTGCGGAAGGCACCGGCTTTGGGCCGGCTGTCAGCTGGGAAGGCCTACCTGTCCTGATGGCTGCCCACAGGGCCAAGATTGGCCTCATGGGCTCTGTGGCTTTTGGTCCCCACTTCCTGGGCCCTCCTCCCCAGCATTCGCAGCTTCCCGTGTTTAGTTACAGAAGGCTGTGCAGCGCCAACTCCCCAAGGAGGAAACAGTCCCCTAGAGAAGGGGAGCTAGGGGCTGTCACAGTCACGGGGAGCACGGAAGACCCTTGGAGTAAGGCAGGTGGGAGTGGCAGCCAGCCAGAGTCTGCAAAGTGAGGACTTAAGTCTAGGCATGCTTGTCAAGTGCCTCCTGCCCTCAGGTGCTATCCCCCTGCTGGCCCAGAAGGGAGCGGCTTGCATAGCCCCTCACTAGAGAGCGGATGAGATGGCAGTGAGGGCTGGTGAGAGGCAGAGGAGGCGGCAGCTGCTGGCACATGAGGTTGGGGAGCTGCCTGCTGGGGTGAGGACAGTGAGAGGCCTGTGGCCAGAGTGTGGCAAGCAGTGGAGGTGACGGAGCCACAGTCTGCAGGGCCTTCTGTCCTGTGCCTTTCTCCAGGCCTCCGTCTGCTGAGCACCTTAGGTCTCTGGTCCCATCAGAGCAAAGGGCTTTTGTGTGGGCACGTCACATGGTGCTGTTGGGACCCTGAGGTTAAAGACTGCACAGAATCTCCTGCTTCTCTGCAGAGATGGGCAGCTCAGGCCTTCCGCCATGTGAGTGTGCCTGGTGTCCCTGAGGAGTGGCCCGGGCAGCCCCAGACTGCTTGCTGGTGTGGACGTGGCCTTGTGCAGAGTGGAGTTCCGGGGTGGTGCTTGGGACTGTGGTTGCAGCTCCTGCTGGCTAGCAGCTCCGTTCCTGTGGTTCGTGACCCCACCCTTCGTGCCTCAGTAGCCTTTTCTCTAAAACGGACTTGGGGAGAGCAGTGCCAGCGGCCTGGGGCAGTCTCACTGTGCCTGTCAGCCTGTTGGGAGTTTTTACATGCGCTCGCAGATGCTTGCTTGTAGGCACGTGAGTTACAGGGTTGCTCAGGCCATAGCCCTGCCCCACAGACTGGTGAGGGTGCCAAGAGGGTGCCTGGTGCAGAGGAGCTTTTCAGTCCGCGTGCACGCTGCGATTCTCACTGTTTAAGTGCATTACTATTTCGGATCCATGGTCATCTAACTTCAGGGCAGTCCTGGGGAGCCCAGGGGGGTCAGGGCTCAGGAAGCTCCATCTTTAACAAGCCCTCAGGGGTGGGAACCCAGGGACCTCCCCAAGCCCCACGTGGACAAGCTTCCAGGTCTGCCCTGGGGCATTCGGGGCTCCTCCAAGGGCATGGTGCGTGGGGGAGCCCTCAACAGCTTTCCAGGCCCAGTCACCAGGCTTGTCCTTGAAGGAGGCGCTCATGTGATTTGGGGCATAGAGTGTGGGGCCCACAAGTGTCTGCCCTGCTGACCCAGGCAAGAAGGGTGGATGGCGCAGGTGCGGCCCCCTCAGCTCAGGGGACAGTGAGGAGGGTGTCGCAAATGGATGTGGGTGGGGGAGTCACGCAACATCTGGGAGTGGGGGGGCAGTGGCCTATGAGCTGCAGCCTCCCCTCACACCCGCCTCCTCCCCTCAGGTCAGTGCCAATGGCAATGTCCTGCGCAGTGAGATCGTGGGTTCCATCAAGATGCGGGTGTTCCTCTCGGGCATGCCCGAGCTGCGTCTGGGCCTCAACGACAAGGTCCTCTTCGACAACACGGGCCGTGAGTTCCTGGGCCATGGGGGCCCTGGGCACAGGGCAGGTCTCACCCTGCAGGGGGCTTCATCCGGAGTTCAATTCAGAGCTGAGGGAGTGTTAATCTGAGGGAGGGAGCACAGTGGGGCTCAAGCACAGGGTTTAGAAATATTTTTACATCGTTTATAAGGCAATGGTGAAAATAAATTAATACCTAGAAATGACACCTGGAATTAATAGGAGGGACCTGGCCTGGAAGTAGGACCTCCTGTGGTAGGGCAGGGCCAGAGCGGCCCTCAGGGGTCCAGATCACTGGGGCTTTGTGTTTGCAAACTGGGTCACCCACCTCCTGGCCTGCCAGCATCGCGGGAGCGGCATCCACCTGGTCGTGGTCACATCCTTAGCAGCAGTGGTCAGGGCCTCTTGGGCACTAACCTATCAGAGCAGCTCCCCTCCAGGGCTGGGTTTGGCCCACCTGGCCCTCTGTGTGGTGGGAAACCAAGATAGGACGAGGGCCCAGGGACAGAGGGGGCCAGCACCCTCGTGAGCCCGGAGGTAGCACCATACATCCCCAGCTGGGTTTGTTAGTCGTTCAACAAACATGTCCTGAGCAGCCACCCTGCCTGGTGACTGGGTGTGAACCAGGCCAACCAGCCCTGCCCTCGGCATGAGCCCCGTGTCTAGGTGGGTGGTGGGGTCTGCAGGGGATGCAGTGGGGAAGGTTGTCTCAGAACCAGGCCCCTTTGGTGTTTGTGACCTAAGATGCTCTCACAGATCTGGGGGCAGCTCCACCCCACCAGGCGTGGGCCCCGGGCAGTGGGAGTGTTGCTGGGAGTGACCGGAGGCCTCAGTTCTATCCTGCCCTGACCCCCACCTCCCCTCAGGCGGCAAAAGCAAGTCAGTGGAGCTGGAGGACGTGAAGTTCCACCAGTGCGTGCGGCTCTCCCGCTTCGAGAACGACCGCACCATCTCCTTCATCCCGCCCGATGGCGAGTTCGAGCTCATGTCCTACCGTCTCAACACCCACGTGAGTGCACCAGGCTCCTCTCGAGTGGGGCTGACACTCACCACTGGGCAGCAACCATGGAGGCCCCGGGGTGGGGGTGGGTTCCTGCCTCCTGCCTGTGGTGGGGACAGTTGCTATCCAAGATGAGTCTCACGTCCATGAGGTGACACCCAGGGTGGGCGCAGGGGCTCCCTGGCCCCAAGAACCCTGGGTTTGAAGACCCAGGCTCTGTGAGGGTCCAGGCCCCCTTGGCACCACTACCCCTTCCCGGGAGCCTGACCAGTAGGGCCCACGATGTGCTCTGAATTTTTTTTCCTTTTCTTTCTCCACCCTGGCATAGACACCCTTGGCATCTCCCTGCTGCCTGGGCCTCTGGGTGACTGTGGGCTCCTCCGAGAGCCCCGGGCAGCAGTGTGTCGAGCTCACACCTGGGCTCGCAGCTGGGCAAACGGCCCTGTGCCTGGGCCCCTGGCTCCGCTCTGTGAAATGGCCAGGTGTGAGTGCCACGTCTGCTCTCCCGACAGGTCAAGCCCTTGATTTGGATTGAGTCAGTGATCGAAAAGCATTCCCACAGCCGCATTGAGTACATGGTCAAGGTGCGTGTGTGTCCTGTGGGCAGTCAGCCCCGGGGGCAGACAGCCCTTCCGGGTGAGGGTGTTCCTGTGTCTCCGCCTGTCCTGGGCCTTTGGCACAGAGGTCTAAGCGAGGCTGGAGTGGCCATGACACTCAGTGACTCCCGTCCCGGCCCGTGCCTGTCATTCTTGCTGCCTCACTCTGAGCTTGGATTCAGGAGTGGGCCAGGGGCACAGGGAGAAGACGCACCGCCCAGGTACTGGGTGTGGCCACCAGCCTTGCTGATGCCTGGCAACAGCCTTGGCCAGGTGTCTGGAAGGTTTCCGTCTGCCAAGCGGAGGCTCTGTCACCCAGGGGACCCTCTGTGGCCCAGGCCGGCCACGAGGGCACAGAACTTGTCCCAGCAGGCCTGGCTGGGCCAGAGGGAGAGAAGGGGAAGCCCAAAGGCCAAGGGAACAGGAAGGCAGAAACAACTTTCAAAGTCAAGTGTAGGGAGAATCTCAGGGGCTCAGAGAGGGTGAGGGTAGTATCTGAGAGTGGGCAGTGGGCAGCTTGGGGGAGTGTCCCACAGGCCAGGCCGAGGGGCGCTCGTGGGCACAGGATGGTGGGTGAGGCTGGTTCGTCTTGCTCTTACCCTTCACAACCTTGACCACGTGGACCTGTTCTCTAGGCCAAGAGCCAATTCAAGCGGCGGTCAACAGCCAACAACGTGGAGATCCACATCCCTGTGCCCAATGATGCCGACTCGCCCAAGTTCAAGACAACAGTGGGGAGTGTCAAGTGGGTCCCTGAAAACAGCGAGATTGTGTGGTCCATCAAGTCCTTCCCAGTACGTACCGTTCTCAGTGGGGCGCCCCTCCAGACCCCTGCTCACATTCTACCAGCTCCCTCTGCCCCGGCAGCGGTGGGATACCCCCCACGCCTTGAGCTGGGGCGCAGGGCTAGGATCTCCACCTGCGGCTTCTGGGGGAGTCGGGAGGAAGGGGATAGAGAGCTGAAGAGCTGGCTGGGCAAGGAGGGAAACTGGAGCCTTCTGGGAAAGCAGAGGCTGGCTTGGCTTTGTGCACCCCTCGCCACCTTCCTCTTCAGCATCTGTGCAGTCTCCCCTCCCTCCCTCCTCCTTTCTGGCTCTCTGGCACTGCGGCTGGGACTCAGCTTCCCTGGAGGGGGGCCAGCTGCCTTGAGGCCAGAGCAGCACGGGTTTCGGGAATCCGGCTCCAGGAACAGGTGGCACTTTGTGCCCCGTGCCTGCGCTGCCCACTGGCGAGCCTGCCTGGCTCGTGTTCAGCGTGGGCTTCCGAGCACGGTGCCCAGAGAGCCTCAGAGGCGGGTGTGCACCTGCACCGACTGCATCGTCCCCGACTTCAGAGACGCAGGCTCCTGGCCCGTCACTGCGTCCCCACATTCTCCTCTGTCTGTGGCCCTCAGTGGGGATTGGGGACGGTCCCAGTGAGTTAAAGAAGTTGGGTGTGCAGCCTTTCCAGTGCCTTACTTTGTTTTATGTTAGTGATTTCCCTCACAACTAACTACATTACAGAAAATGTAGGGAAGGAAGGGGAGGAAACAGACTGCCGTCCTGCCACCACGTGCGGTTGCTGGTCGCCTGTTGGTGCGTTTTGCTCTGACTGCCTGCGCGTTTCTGCTGGCCGCTGCGAACAGGGAGTGGAAGCCTTCTGGTCTCTCTGTCACAGGCCCGTGTCAGAGGCCGTGTCCAGGCCGCTGGCTGTCTTCTTGGTGGTCAGGTTTGTCAGCAGTATAGCATCGCCCAGAGGCGGTAATGACCATCCTGGGTTGCGGGCCATTTCCACTGTTAAAGCAGCATTTGTGTTCAAAACCACAGCGGGAGATCGGGAGAGGAATCGCACGGTGAGCTGCCGGGCAGGAAGAGCCCGCGGCCGGGGGCCGGAGCCGACCAGCAGGGGCTGCGCCTGATTTTGTAGCCCGTGGCTTGTTTCGGTCTAATCTTTGAAATTTTCATTTGACTCTGAAACCTTTGAAGTGGTTTTCATGACCATAAAACAAAATTAAATCAAAATGGGGAAGAACAGTGATTCCTAAAGTCAAAAGCCAAATGAATTTACCGGTGTATCAAGTTGGGCCACCACACAGAGATGAAGTACTGCAGGTAGTGTACCCCAGGGACAAAAAGAACTGCGAAAATAGTCTTAAATACGTCCGCATGTGTGTAGCCTTCCCCATCTTATTGTTCTCCACATCACCAGTTTGACACGCAGTTTGATTCAGGGTTGGCTTTTTTAATTCAGCTTTAAATGTGTAAAATATTTGTGGTTCAAAAGTGAAAACTATTAAAAGGGGGGGAACAGAGGAGGCCCAGAAGTCTCCACCCCTTTCCCTGCCTCCCCTTCCCATTGTGGAAAAGCATTTGTGCTTTAACCTTCCGAAGTGTCTTTGGTACAAAGAAACAAATATAAATGGAAACATTACTATTTCTCCTCTTTTCTTACCAAAAGGAGGAGAAATACTGTTCTGTCTCCCTTTTTTCCTCCTAGCCTTTTGGGAGAAATGGTTATGTAAGATTTTCCTTGTTCTTTTTTTTTCAGCTGCATGGTATTCCCCTGGGTGGCCCTTTTCCCGTCCTTATTCAGCCAACCCCCCACTGAAGGGCATTTCACGTAGTTGCCGTCTCTGGCTCTAGGGGGATTGCGTTGACGATTGACCCTGGGCCTAAGGCATGGCTTACTTGTCGGTGTGGCTTCAGAGTCCGTGCCAGAAATGAAATCACTGGCTCAGCGGGGACCCAGTTCGGAGCTTTTGTTGGACCGCCCTGATTCCCCGTGTGCAGTTTGGATGCCGTCAGTACCGTCTCTGCCTCGCCAGCAGAGCTGTCAGGGAGCTTTTGCTCCATGCCATTTGCCACTGCAAACGAGAGGACGTTCTTTTCCTCAGGCCTCTGGGCCGTTCGTGTTTGTGTAGCAGCAGCTGCCTCTGCTCGTTTTCCTGTGCGATTCACTCATTTTCTCCTTAGTTTCCATGGGCTCTTTGTATGTGGGCAAGGTCAGTACTTTTTTAAAAATGTGAGTTGGAAATGGTTTTTCTCAGTGTGTTTCTCTTTTGACTTTGCTTCTAGTGTTTTTTTGCTGTGTAACCTTTCTGGGTTGCTTCTTCGTGTTATTATTGTTGTTTATCATAGTCAAGGTTTTTAGTCTTTTTCTTTTGTTGTGTCTTTCAAGTAATGCTTTGAAAGGCTTCTCCACTTCATTCTCAGTTATAAAGGGATTCACTCATTTGCTTCTAGAACCTCTCCAGTGGCATTTTTTTACCTTAGATTCCTGTCCTTGCTCCGAGCTCCATCCCTAGAGTCATCGCCCAGTGATGCCCTCCTGACACTGGGCACGTGGGGTTCTCTTGGACTTTTATCCCTGGGCAGCCCACACCTGTGCCCTTCCTTCCCAAGGCCTGTTGGTTTCATTTGTCTTGAAGCAATTAGTCTTCTTCCACCGGGAGCTTGTGAAACTAACTTTCTCTTGATCCTTAGAATTCAGCAGTTTTGCTCATCTCGGCCTCCAGTCTGGTGGGGCAGCCCCTGAGGCCTGGGGGATAGCAGACATGTATGAGAGGGGCCAGGGTGCCTGCCAGGGGTCTGCCAGCCACACAGGAGAGGGCTTGGCGGCCAGGTTGGTGGCCCATGTTCTTCAGGGACAGCTGCTGGTTGACCTGGGCCGGGGCCTGGGCCTGACCATCCCCACCCTGTCTGCTTTCCCAGGGCGGCAAGGAGTACCTCATGCGGGCCCACTTTGGCCTGCCCAGTGTGGAGGCTGAGGACAAGGAGGGCAAGCCTCCAATCAGTGTCAAGTTCGAGATCCCCTACTTCACTACCTCTGGCATCCAGGTACGAGCCCGGGGCTGCCGGGGCCCAGGGCAGACATGGACAGCGGGGACTCAGAGTCAGTCCAGGCCCAGAGGGTTGGAGGTAACACAGCAACACAGTGAGCTTGGAAAAGGGCTCGCGTCAGCTGGCTGCAGCCCCGCGCCTGTCCCCGGGCAGCCCGAGCCCCAGCAAGAAGGGGCCCGTCCATGCTGCCTACTCAGACCCTGCCCTGTGCTTCAGCTCCAAGCCCAGAGATTTGCTCAGCCACCGAAGCCAGAGTCAGCCTCTGTGTCCATGTCCACCAACGTGTCCCTGTGGGGCTCGTCTTCTTGGCCACCTCCACGGGAAGCCTCCCAGGGGAGGAGAAACCTGGGTCCATCTCCAGAGTCTTGGAGGGGCCACACATCGGGCTCTTTGCCCCATCTCTTAGTTAAAAGAGGCCCCACTCTCCCACAGCCTTGCCCTGCCCGGCCCCGGCGGGGGGGTGGTGATGACTAAGGGTCACCAGGAGGGGGCAGCATGCATGCTCAAGGCTCCGGCACCTGTATTCCAGGTGCGCTACCTGAAGATCATTGAAAAGAGTGGCTACCAGGCCCTGCCGTGGGTCCGATACATCACTCAGAATGGAGGTACGTGCAGCTCACGCGTGGGCCGGGGTGGGGTGCTAAGAGAGTCCCCAGTGGCCAAGTGGCTGCCTCCAAGGGAGTGTCCCCAGCATGGTGCTCATGGACACCACCCTCCCGTCTCCTAGATTACCAGCTCCGGACCCAGTGAGGGCTCAGTGCCCCACCCTGGTGCAGGAGCGCCTGGCGGAAGCATTGGACGGCCTGTCAAGCCCACCGGAAGGAGGACACCCTGACACTGGCCACAGCCCCTGCTCTGCCAGGAGACCCCTCCCTTCTCCAGGCACACCTTCTCTGCCCTCACCACTCTTGTCTTCAAAGCCCCTTCTCCCAGAACAGGCTCGTCTTCCAGATGTCCCGTCTCCTTGCCCCCAGTTGGTGTGGGGCAAGGAGGCGTCACCTCCCCGCACCAGAGGTCTCGTGCACCCTCCAGGCCGCTCAGTCCCAGGTGCCACAAAGGTCGGGAACTCTCGCCGGGTGCTGCCCTTGTGCCGACTGTGTGCTTCTGAGTCTCTGGCGCTTTGTCTTCTTCCTTCGTTGCTGTTTACGTGAACCCTGCTGTCCGCTCTCACTCCTTGTCCTGAAGCTCCAGGCGGCACTGAGTGAGGGTGGGACCCCCCTCCTCGGCCCCCTTCCACAGTGGGGGCATCCTCCACTTGGGGAAGAACCCCAGCACTTTGGCCCCTTGGGGGCTCCTGGCCTGGACCCACAAGCTTCGGTGAGGCACCTCCCCAGGGCCAGCCTGTGCCACACACTGCTGCCACTCAGCCACACCAGTGTTTGTCCCCCCTCGGTGGGTGCAGCGAGGGCCGCTGGCCTCAGAGGGCACAGGTCATCGCATCTGTGCTTGGTCACCCCTGCCCCGTCTGCGTTTGTGTAATAATTAGATTAAATTTCATTAATTAAACCCTCTGCCTGCCTTCCCTCGAACGCACTGTGGTACAGGCCCCCAGGGTGACAGAGGCAGGTGCGGGCTCACACCACCCTGTGTGTGGCCTTGTGTGTGTCGCCAGGTCCCAGCAGCTCTCCCCCACTCCCCTCCCCAGCTGGAGGGAGCAGTCCGCGGACAGCAGGGCCATGGCATTGGACCACCAGGGTGTCCCTTCCTGGGGGGCGCACAGGCAAGTTCTTTCCCTCTCACCCCCAACCTGCAGAGTGCTAACAGCTTGCCCCCATTTGTCCCCTTTCTGATGGACTTTCTCAGAGTGTGGTCCTCATACCAGCAGCATCAGTATCCCCTGGGAGCTCACCAGACAGATTCATGGGCCCCCCTGACCTGCCAAGGTGGTGTTGGGACAGGGCCCTTGTGGCAGGTGCACGGGCCAGGAGTGCCTCATTCTCCCTCTGTGGGCACCACGCTCACACTCACTGTTCCTCTAACACTGGCAGCCCCGTCCGCCCTACCCCCTTGCTGGTAAGTGCTGTGTTCCTTCTCCCATATCTTCCAGCCCCACACTGCTCAGCCCAGGGCTCAGGTCATGAACTTGGGCACCTGTGATGCCCCACCCGCACCCACATCCTCACCCACAATAGCCTGACTGCCCCCCCAGAGGCCCCTGGCTGATCTTCCATTCTCACTGCCATCCTCAGAGGCCAGGGTCCAGCTTCCAGTGCCCCTAAGGGGCAGAGTGGTCCACAGTGTGGAGCAGACCCTCTGCTTGCAGTGAGGTTTGGGGCACTGACTGGCAAGAACACGGTAAATACACAGAAATGCATAGAATAAGGTGAATATGCACAGCTGAGCCTATAAGGAAGGGGAAATCCACAGGAGCCTAAAATTAAGGAAGCAGACACCAAAGCAGCAGCATGAGCTGGTGCTCTTGGGAGCCTAGGAGTTTGGATTTAAGGACCAGGATGGGTGGGACTTAGGGCCTGCGGAGTTTGGTGAAATGCCATGGAGAGCCCTGCACAGCTGGACTCACAGTAGGAAGGCGGGCTGACTAGGAAAGCTGCCTACCGTCTCACACTGCGAGTCCGTGCTTTTTACTCTGGGCTGGAGAGCTGGTAGAGGCAGGGCCTCCCCTGAAGTCTTGAAAGGACCAGCTGAGCGCTGAGATCCACATGGCCCAGGCAGTCTGGAGCACCCAGGCCTGGCGTTTAGGAAACTCTCCAGAGGGCAGTGACTCCAAGGTCCTCACACATAGTGCAGCCGCCCTGCCTGTGAGGGCACATCTGGAAAGTTACGGAGTGCGGGCGGGAGTCCACAGACTGTAGGCAGCAGAGCCAGGTCCCCAGACCTTGGTATTGGGCTTACCAGACGTGTGATACGCAGTAAGTAAGCTCTAAGTGATGACAGGCAAAAGGACTCAAATTTAGAAAAGAATAAAATGCCGTTAAGACAACTATTGCCACAAGGCAAATAATCTATACAAATCATACAGATAACATCTCCAAGTCAGAAAAAGAAAGGACCCCGTAGAAAATGGGCCAAATGTGTGAGCAAACAATTCTGAGAAGATGAAATACAAACAGCAGCCCCAGATGGATGGCTCAGTTGATCGGAACGCCGTCCCGAACACCAAAAGGTTGTGAGTTCAATCCCTGGTCAGGGCGTATACAGGAGGCAACCGATGGGTGTTTCTCCCTCTCTAAAACCAGTAAAACACCCTGGGTGAGGAGCAAGTAAAAAATAAATACAACTGGCAAACAAACATGAAAAGCTGTTTAACATTGTTGTAGTTAAGGAAATAAAAATCACAATTCAGTGCTGCTTCAGACTCATCAGGTTGGTTGGGGAAAACTGACGTCTGAGAAAACCAACATTCGTGAACAAGTGGAGCTTCGGGAAATGTTCATGGTGCTAGTAATTGTGTAAGTTGATGCGATCACTTTGCGATTGTCAAGACTGCAAGGTGAACATGATGCCCAGGCTTGTGTGAGTGCCGTAGGTAACACATCAAGCTGCACACTGCACGTGGGTGCTTGACAGTGTGTGTGTGTGTGTGTGAGACACCTCAGCTTTCAGAGCTAAAAAATAGAGCTAAAAAAATAGAAACCATGTTCACAAAATGAGCAAACTGCAGGAGGATGTTGCCCTGTTATTTACACAAAATTTTAAATCACGTAAGAGAACACTGCACTGTTTATGGCCACATAGTATGTAATAAAATATAAAATCATACAAACAAAAGTCTAAATCCAAACTCTAGACAGTGGTGCCTTCTGGGGCAGGAGAGGAACAGGCCTGACCCAGGGATGTGGGCTTCAATCACATCTGGCAAGTTTCATTTCTTCCAGTCTGTGTGCGTACTGGGACATTTGTTCAATCATCACCAATGTTTTTGTGATGATGTAAGACTGCTCTTAAGATTGTCATTCAGGCCCTGGCTTGTGTGGCTCAGTGGATCGAGCACCGGCCTGTGAACCATAAGGGTCACTGGCTCGATTCCTAGTCAGGGCACATGCCTGGGCTGCAGGCCAGGTCCTCAGTTGAGCATGTGAGAGAGGCAACCAATTGCTGTTTCTTTCTCCCTCCTTCCCTCTCTCTCTCTAAAAATAAATAAATAGAAATATCTTTTTTATCTTTAGAGGGGAAGGGAAGGAGAGAGGGAGAGAAACATCAATGTATGGTTGCCTCTCGTGTGTCCCCTGCTGAGAACTGGCCTGCAACCCAGGCATGTGGCCTGACTGGGAATTGAACCACGATCCTTTGGTTTGTAGGCCTGCGCTCAATCCACTGAGCTACACCAGCCAGGGCTAGAAATATCTTTTTTTGAAAAAGATTGTAATTCAGATCATGTCCCTGCTATGCTCAAAGTCCAACCATGGCCCCTCAGTGCTCTCCAGGTAAACCGCTCGCTCCCAGCCGGACAGGTCCGGACCCTCTCCGGCTTCCACTCTTGTCCTGCTTCCCTCTGTTCCAGCCACTCCTGCCTCTGCCCCAAGTATTCTCACTCGGAACACACTGCCGTTGCTCAGATGTCATCTTCCCTCAGCCACCCCAGCTTATCACGACGTGCAATGGCCCTTCATTTTACGTTTTCCTGCCTGCCACGTTTTCCTGCCTGCCTCGAATCCCCCCAAGGCCAGGGCCCCTGTCTGGTGTGTCATTGCTGTGTGCACAGGGTCCAGGGCACTGCGGTGCCAGGACTGGGATCTGGAGCTACACCCTCATGGCTCTGCCAGTTGTGGCCACCAGGGGGTGACCATGGGTCAGAAATCAACGTTTGGGGACCTTTCTGCGAAGACTGAGGCCAGGGGAGAAATGGGCCAGGGGGGCCTTTTTCAGCACAGGGGCTCCCTAGACCCCTGCAATCTCTGTCCTTGGGGTTCTCACTGCAGCCCGCCTGACAGATGTGGAAACCGAGGATTGAAAAGCTCTTAGAAAGGTCATAAGTTTTAAAACCACGCCCCTGCCACCATCATCCAGTTGTGCCCTCTTAGCCCTGTGGAGGGAGCAAGGGAAGTTAGGAATGAAGGGTGGGCAGGGGCGCTGAGGACCCTGGTCTCAGGCTGGTGCCTGTGACCCCCACCAAGTCAGGGCCAGTGAGGGGCTGGCTGTCCTTCCCAAAGGCGGGAACCTCAGCTCATGGCAGCTTGCCCAGCCCCTGCCTGAGCCCACAGCCCCCACACTGTACACATGGGGAAACCGAGGCCCGGAGATAGGCTGGAGCAGTCCTCAGGGAGCCTGGTGCTGCCCTCCGGGGTGAGGCTGGGGGCCTAGTGGGAAGGGAAGGCAGGGCACCCCCACCCGCTTCCCTTCAGCTTCCTAGCCAACGGACGGGAACTGGGCCGATTCCCCTCCCAGGCTCACCTGGGAGCCCCACAGAATGGCTCCCCTTGCTGTGTGACCTTGTGCAGGCTCTGTGCCCTCTCTGGGCCTATTTCTCTGACCACATGGAGCTTTTGCATGCCATTTAATTAGAAGAAAGTGTACCTTGAAGAAGGAAGTTCTAGGTTGTCAACCAGTTGCCCTCTCTAAGGGCCAGGATTCTGTTAGAAGATGCAGAGGCCCTGGTGTTGTCAATTCACTGTTGTTTTTCTAATGAAGTGAAATTCACATAACATATAGCTAACCTTTTACAGTGAGCCAATCCACAGCATTTAGGGCATTCACGATATTGCACAACCACCACTTCTATCTAATTCCAGAACATTTCATCACACCAAGAGGAAACTGCCCACAAGCAGTTACTCCCTACCCCAAGCCCTGGCCTCCAGTCTGCTTTCTGTGCCCGTGGACTGGTCTGCTGGGACATGTCATACAAGTGGGATCGGCAGCGTGAGGCCCTCTGTGTCCGGCTTCTCTCCCTCAGCATCACGACCCACCTTGTAGCCTGTGTCAGGGCTTCAGTCTTTTTTTTTTTTTTTAATCCTCACCCCAGGATACGCTTATTGATTTTAGAGAGAGAGGAAGGCAGTGAGACAGAGAGAAACATTGATATGAGAGAGAGACATCTATCAGTTGCCTCCTCGACTGGGGATCAAACCTGCAACCCAAGCGCAGGCCTGGCTGGGGGGCAAAACCTGCAGCCAGCGGTGCACTGGACGACGCTGCAACCGACGGAGCCCCCGGCCAGGGCGGTGCTTCACTCCCTTCTGTGGCCCAGTAATACGTCCCTGGTGGAATTACCACATTCTCACTGCCCACCACCCATTAAGGGACGTCTGGGCTGTGTCGCCCTTCGGGCCATTGTGAGTAACGCTGCTATGAACACCAGTGCGAACTTGTCTGTGTGGGGCCCCGCTCCAGTCATTTTGGGTTCAGACCTAGGGGGGGATTGCTGGGCACGTGGTAATTACATGTTTAGCTTTTTGAGGGCTTTTGCAGATTTTTGTAAGACTGAAAGACCACGGCTCCTGGCCAAGCTGAGGATCTGTGCCTACAAAATCCTGGCACGTCCTCTTTGATGAGCACGTTCCCCTGCCAGCCTGCCCTCCCATCGCCTGCTCCACCCTGATCGGCCGCAGAC